ACTGGGTGAAATATTACTGCTGTGTCTGCTCAACGCTTCATTACGCTTGAAGGAAGGATTGTACAATGATACTGTTCCTCTGTCATTTGTCATTACATAGTTCACTGATCAATTCCAGAAATGTTTTACATGGGTTTTCTAGGTGTGTAAATATTGACTTCCTCCTTGTGTTCTTTCATTTTCCTTTCAACACTAATTTGCATTATTCTTGATATTAATCTTGAAATGTTCGTTGCATAGAGTGCACTTTTCTGAAGCGCGAATTGTGAAAGACTCTTTTATCTAATGGAGTGTGAGAAACTAAGGAAACGGCTTTGATCTCCACAGTTTAGTTGTCAACTTTGCCAGTGTAGTTTGATGTAATACACGTGGCAATGGTCATTACTAACAGTTCATATTTTTTAGTTTAGTTTCCAAAAGAGTCCTGACTCATGCGAAAACAATACACACGATCATTGGCGATTCCCTAAATTTGACGTCTGGCTGGAATGTGTCGATATGTTGAGGTTGGTACAACATGTGGTCGCCGAGACTACCGAGTGTTTCTGATCGTCTGGGTAGTAACTTGAACTCCGACGGCTTGGCGCAAGTGAACATCGATTTCATTGGCTCGATTTTCCAAGCCTGGTTTCTGGTTAAAAGATCCGGGATTTGTGTTATTAACCTAGGGTTCTCTGTGTGGGCTGAACATTTTACTTCTGCAAAAACCTGTTTCAAAGTTTGCAAATCGGTGAGATAATTTGAACATGTTGGATAGCCCTCGCTGGGTTCAACCAGGTTGAAGCAAGGCAATAGTTCGGAAGTGTTTATCATGCTCTAGACGACATATTCCCAATCTGATAACAAATACTGCATTAAAGCAAGAGTAGAGGACTTGCGTGTTATCGTAGATAATTAAGTGTCCTTCAAGTGTCAAAATCAACAATAACCACATACCCACGTGTACGGAGGAACGCCATGGTCCACGAGCAGTGTTTCAGTTGTGTTGGGACACTGCGGTTTGGTTCTGAAACCGTTCCATCTATTCAGCCATTTCTCAAGGCTGATCTTCCTTCTGACGACCGATTACAACATTCATAGTTCATGATCCCTTACTTTATGTGGAGAGTATATCATTCCTGCACCATCCATACGTACTCTCCGCAGACTGCTTTATCGATCTCAGAAGACAGCATTTTATATTCTATAGACGTCGAGTGAGAAGTTCAAAGGCGACACTTCAGAGCTGAGTAGTCCGTATCAAGTGTCCCCAAATGATATAAAGCCATATAAAAGATATTATCTGCAGTCGCCAAACAATAAAGACAGAGTAAATATAATTTATCGATCACATTTAAGGCAATTATGAGAAGCACCAACGGGGAATATATATCAGAGATGACAATGTGCAACCGTTTAACGCCCCGCGACACCAAATATATACAGCCTTTTCATTAAATCTTCTCCGCCATGTGATATTGTGTAAAGTAACACTAACAGGAAAGGGCAATCAATTCTATTGAAGCATTTGAAAGAACGACGTGTACTGTATATTTAGTAGAATCATACAAAGCACATTGGCTTTTTAGCACAGCTCAAGTTGAAGGAAAGTGTTGGATTATAAAACACCAAAATTATGGCGATTCCACGATATTCACAAACATCATCTCTTTACTCGACAGATATAATCAAAAGAAGAATATAATATTACAAAATGACTCAGGTAATTACCGTTGCATTTGTACAAGAACACAACTTATTTGGCGATAGAAAATGAAACATAACCTAAACAAGGAGCCGTTCATTTCAGCCATCTATCGTTACAATTCCATGATTAGGGATAAGTTATACTTTTGTCAAATATTCATCGTCTCCTTTAAGGTTAGAAGAAGACTTCCCGAAGAGATTGTTGCAGATAATGGGTCATATTAAGTAGACATATGTAAAACAACCATGAATTGGTCTATTTTACTGTCTAGACTGTCATTCATATTTCAACACACATCGTCTTGTAAGATAATGTGAACCAATAGGTGATATGAATGTATGCGTTTGAGACAGAGCGAGACAGAGTCGGAGAGAGAGAGAGAGAGAGAGAGAGAGAGAGAGAGAGAGAGAGAGAGAGAGAATCCACCCTCAGAAATAACCATGGCGACCAGGTACAAGTGATTGATAAAATGAGCTACATGTCACCAAGCCTAACCAACTGATCCATTTAGTCTTCTCATTAAAGGCAGACAAAGGTGACTAGAGGCCATTTTTAACCCGGCATTCCCGTGGGTAAGCTGACATTTTAGCTCCATGTTAGGTAGTACGTATGAATTGATGCCGAACACTAGAAGTCACTCACCCGGTTGAGACAGTGGAAACATTGGTAAATCTTAAGTTATGATCAAAGAATGTTATCTCACCAACGGAACACGTTTCTATACCCGATCTGACCATTCTCTTCCCTGGTAACCCTTCCCAAACTGGCATATGTGTTTACTGCTGGCAACCGTCAGTTGTTACCTGACAAAGGTAACATTGGTGTTCTGAACACACATTCTGACGTTATTATTTATTATTACTATTAGATATTTATATAGCGCACATATCCATGCACTAGTGCATGCTCAAGGCGCTGGTATTTTGTCCCTCGAACATTGGATGTCAATCTCAACGGCACATCTTATTAGTAATCTCAGCTCCCTGGGGAACCTACAACTCTTGCCACACGGCGCACCGAGTTATTGCGGCTTTCCCATCCTTACGAGGTTCCCATTCACAGCTGGGTGGACTGGGACACATAGTCACAGTACTTTTGTCCATGTTTACTGCACGTTGCTGCACCCGGCTAGGTGTTTGCACGTATTCATGTGGCCACCATCTGGTCATATACCAACGGATTCGTGGGTTCTTTTAAGTGCACAGGGTTGTGTACTGTACACTAGGGGTTGTGACAACACTGAAAGAGTCTGCACACAAAGTTGACCCCAAGGTTTTACACCCGGTCACAGGTGGGCTCGATCCCTGCACCTCATGCTCGCTTGATCACTAGCCTGGCGCCTTAGCCAGCTAGCCCACAACGCCCCCACGTGTCACGTTATGTTCGGGGCAACATAAAAATCCAGCATCAACGCCATCGTTGAATTACAAATTTCAGCTATCTTAATCTTGTGATAAGAACGTTGGAAGGGACTATCTATAACATGTCACTTCCATACACTGTATCACATACCGCCACTGATCAAGTCACGGTACCGTGCCTGTTGAACTCTAATGCTAATACCCGGATTGGTGCAATCTACTTGATCTTGAACCCACAGGGAACAGCTCAAAGGATACCCATACAAAAGTGAAACACTTCCCATGTTAAAGGTTAAGGGAAAGTGGTTGAAAACGAGAACCAGTGTATTCTAAAACAAAAGTACTTGCAGAATGGTTTTACGTGGTGGGAAAATCCAGATTCGTTGCATCTAACAAGACGTGCTTGGTTTTGTGATGGATATTGAGTACCATTCGCCCCCACTCTGTACATTCCGTGACATACTGCTGAAACTTTCAGCGTGAAACGAGTGATGACGAATGGGAAATAACATGTGGCAATGTCTGATCCAATACGGCAGTTGCGCACAATCTGATGTCCTTAATCTATTCGCATTCAATATACTTTGCCATCTGACAAAAATCGGCCAATTAGAGTCCAAGTTGATTACAATCTTGAAGTTTGGCTTGGTGCCGATAAGGGAAATGAAAAGATTCTCTCGTGAATAAAACATTCAGATAATATCGTATTACAACGAGAATGTGTCAATTTAATCGACAAAACACAGATTTGAATTTACAAGCCTTCTTTCCGATGTGTTAATACACATCTAGATTATCAAATTTCAATTCTGTTAGTTTGTTGGTTTGTCACTCAACGCAGCCCAAAATATATTACGGTTGTCTCCTAATCAGTGGTATGATGACATGCCTTAACTACTCGAACCCGTTTGAATGGATGGATGGATGGGTGGACCCACCATGTCCATCTGCTAAGGCCACCACGCATGTACCAGCTAACACAGAGGTTCCAAGATGCAGATCAGAAAAATACATGCATTTTCATATTTTGACATTATGCATACTTGTCCCTGCTAGTTAAGGAATTTCTTTATCCCAAAACCTGGTGAAGCTTGATTGCGTGTATTGTAAGAATACTGCACTTAATTTCTCCTTTTCCTCAGTTGTCTTGAGTTTCTATTCATAATACATGATGAGTAAAGATCAAAAGGGCATGTCATTGTGACACCATGAAGTAGAGTAGATGAAGTCAGCGTACACATTGTATTCCCATTCTAAGATTTCTGATCAGATGGTATGAACTCTAGATGTTCCCCTTGCTGATAAGATGAACGATAGCATCGTTTGTACACGAGTTCACGATAAGCCCGTTTCCCAATGAGACTGGGGAATCACTGCTTCGCTGTCGGGGCGAACAACCTTAAAAGATTTCATTCGTCCCTCATCAAGTCTATCCAGCACTGGCACCCAACAATCTTTAGCTTCACTGAACATATTCAGAAGATTGAACTATCCTAGAAGGCAAGAGGAATGCAAATCAACATTGGAGATGCCCCACCACCCAGTAAGGCTGGTTATAATGAGACAGGAAACAGACTTGAGCTCCTGAAGAAGCAGGCTAAGGACTGGCCAGACGAATGCCCACCAGTACGTGGATACTGTTGATGCTGAAGAAATGAAAACTGTAGACCTATGAACTTGTTTTACGTTTTGTTAAATACATATAAATACATATCGTACATGTAGTTGGGCTTAAAGGTACTTATATGTTGTCTTTTCACCAAAACTGGAAGATACCACTCATTTGACCACAGGAACACGTAGAAAGTCGTGCACTCAGCAGTAATAAATGTTGTTTGAGTGTATCTGTGTGGACAGAACAGTTCACGGTCACAGGGCATCCAGCAGCAGCTAATGGTCACCAGCAGGCCTCTGAGGGACTGAACATATTTGTATACTCCATAGAAGTTTCATAGGTTTCTCTGTTTATTTACAAATGTGTAGACTACAAAGAATATTTTACAATCACAGCTGATTTTGCATAAAAAGGTTGAAAATCACTCTGACATAATCCACACATATATTGTATCGTAAAACGAATGTTACCTGCATGCCATGACAGCAGGCTATGCTACAATAATTGTTGACATTTCGATGAGTGATATGGTAATTCAGCCTAGATTATTTCCAGCAGTCAGTTCACCTGGGTATATTATACATTTCTCTTTGTTATACGAAGTATCTCAGAATATACACTACAGCTCCCAGACAAATATTTGAAAGTCGTGCTATACAATAATTCATGTTAAAAACTTAACACGGTAATTTAGCTAACATAATGATCAAACTGATATTGCAAATCACATAAAATCAAATATGAATTTGAGGGAAGTCAATATATTAATATGGTATTCGGAAAAACAAAAATACTACGTAAACACATCATTTCCCCTGAGACTAACTTCATGTACAATGTATTGAAGTAAACCGTATTCCCGGACATAACAATTTATAATTATAGCACATATACACATTATACCTGCATTATATACACGTTTAACGGACTAAATTATTATTGCACGTGCAACATATACACATAATACCTGCTTTACATATATTTTCCCGAACTAAATAAATATTGCACATGCACACATATACACATAATACCAGCATTATGTACATGAAATGAAAGACCAGATTCGAACCCTTGGAATGGAGACTACTGGCGGTGGTGTTAGTGTCAGTTGTTGGAACCAGTAGTATCTCACGTTGTATCCCCGCCTAGTAGTAGCTCGTCTGCTTCTATGTAGCCACGCCATTCTGAAGAACAGATGGAAATTCTATGTAACTACAGAGACACATGTAAACACAATTTGTTGACACCAGAGCATAACCAGCCATGATGTTTACAAGGATCAGATTCATAAGGAAGTAAAAGTTGTTGACACCAGAGCATAACCAGCCATGATGTTTACAAGGATCAGATTCATAAGGAAGTAAAAGTTGTTGACACCAGAGCATAACCAGCCATGATGTTTACAAGGATCAGATTCATAAGGAAGTAAAAGTTGTTGACACCAGAGCATAACCAGCCATGATGTTTACAAGGATCAGATTCATAAGGAAGTAAAAGTTGTTGACACCAGAGCATAACCAGCCATGATGTTTACAAGGATCAGATTCATAAGGAAGTAAAAGTTGTTGACACCAGAGCATAACCAGCCATGATGTTTACAAGGATCAGATTCATAAGGAAGTAAAAGGAAGCATTACAGCGTGATAACACCAGGTGTTGACTGAGGAAACGGAAGTGTGGATATAACACCAGGTGTTGACTGAGGAAACGTGTGTGGATATGAAATCGGTATGGCCCAATGGGAACGCCAAGGTATTGATGTAAACATTGTCATGTTCAAACAAGTCATGTGTGTTGTTTATTTTTGTTACATTTGCTTATTTTGACTTGACTACTTATCACATGATCAAATACATAATTTTGGCCAAACTGATGGAAAGGGGAAACGGTTGCACAGTATTTTCCACATATGAAAAAATCAGCTTCGCTCAAATATTCAATTAGACAAATACTTTTAAAAAAATCAAATTTAGCATTATAAACCCATTTCAGCTTTACCTATGCATCTAGTGGTGTTACTACTCGACATATAGTTGTTGAAATGAACAAAGTGCACGTTCACATATATGCATCTGCTAACTTTGAAAATGATATTTAATTAATTCCCTCATTTCATGCTTATCACTGGGTCATACTGTGCTCTTATCGCAACCTTGCCAAATGTTTCCACAAAACTTTGACGAGTTGGTTGAGGAGAGACCAGTTTTGCAAAACCAGTGGGTCATACTGCGAATATTTAATAGTCGATTTAGAACTGAGGACTGTTGTCCATTGTTTCGTGATTTATCACGAAGCACACAGTCCTCACAAACTTAATATGGGCGACTTAGCCCTTTCAGTAATCAGAAGAAATACACTTGACCATTAGTACGGTTCCGATAAACGCCACATTGGTCATTTGATCTGCTTTTTGGTCGCCGGTTCATATCTTAAAGGTCATAATCCGCAGACAGAAAGAGGACGTTTTCAACCTACACTGTTGATACAAGTAATGTCCGCAATGGCCATTCCAAATATAAATACAGATTAATCCTGTGCGAGACTTGTATCGTCTAGGCGGTATCCTATAACATTGTTTGTGTCATCGACACGGTTGTTCAAAAGGTCACATTGAAATGATGGGAAACATGAAATGCTGGGACAGGGTTTTACATGACGCGTGATTCTTGCGTATTTGACGCAACAATTTTGTAAAAGACTCTCAAAATATTATCATACGAGTCAAGCTTGAGGCAAGTTTTATGAGTGACACCCAGAATTCAGTTCAATAAAATTGATTTGATAAGCAAACAATGATAGTTTTCATGAGGTCTTCATTAATTTAGATATTTCTTTCCATTCATGTTTATAACTGTATTCTACAGTGAATAAATCACAAGCATGATTATCTGTTCACTTTACTGGATTTTGTTATGTCTGATTTGAACTGTGAAAAATAAACTATTTATTAACTTCCGGTAACATTTAAATGGCAATACAACACAAAACAACAAAATCTCTGCAAAACTCTTGCTTTTTGATATACACAAATAAATATTACACTAAAAATGTCATGACTCCCAAACATTGAAAATGACTCCCCAAAATAAATAGTGTGAGTCACCATGACTCTTTTTTTTCAAAGTCTGTGTAAAACCCTGTGGTAGCTCACAAACTCCAGCATTTGATTTTAAAGAATACGTAGACGTCCTTATCTGTGCCATTGGCGTGTGGAACTCTTGAAATTACATGTGAATCTTCGGAATCGGATCCTTCTACAACTGTTGTGGACTTTTTGTATGCAAGTGGTTGGTATGGCGTTTTGTTACCGATACATTTAGTTGTTACTTATTATTTAATACGTCTTGTGCTGATTCTAGAGCCTGAAAACGAACTGTGCATTCTTCAAGGTGCCCTGAAATCGCAGTCTCATAAACGCTGATCGCGCACACCATCAAATTTGCGGAACAATAATTCATTTGGTAATCTGTGCTTAACACAGTTTCTGTCAAACGCTAATCCCACTACATAGCATAATGTTTTTGGAGCATTCATAAACAGCTATCAGTGCCGAGATATACAATAATCTATGTGCTGTTATATGAAGCTGGATAAGGCATTGAGGCTGATCAATGAGGGCTTCAGTATCCTTGCAATACATGACCGTCACATAAAACACTGCATGGCCTGGACACATCATGATCTCGGTGTAACATTTATGCCTCCTGTCAAGCAATATCTGAAAAGGAATATGGGCAAACTCCCAGTATCAGGGACGACGAGAGGATGAAGTTTGTTTGTTGTTTAACGCCGCACTCAGCAATATTCCAGCTATATGGCGGCGGTCTGTAAATAATCGAGTCTGAATCTTGTGATCAGCAGCATTAGCAGCTATCAATTGGGATACGATGACGTGTCACCCGAGTCAGAGAGCCTGACTACCCGACCCCGTTAGTCGACAAGGATGGATTGCTGAAGACCACTTCTAACCCGGATCTTCAACGGTATGAGCAGGTAAAAAGTGGTGTATATGTGCTAAAGGAGCTACAGGTGGATGGGTACATGAGATGGGTGAGGTGAGGTGAAACTGGGTTGAACGTCGTGCTTGAGAATATTTCGCTCATATGACGACGTGCATGCATGTGTATGTGTAGGTGCGGCTGCTTGTACTAGCCCAGACTGAAGCTGGTTTTATAGTGCTAGCTCACGGAGATACCATGCCGCAGTGAAGCATGAATACCCCACTCAGACACAGTATACTGACTCCGAGCCGACCAGTCCTTGTTGTACCCATTAATGCCGAGCGCCAGGCAGGGACCAACAAGTACCATATTTTAACGTCTTTTGGTATGACACGGTCGGGGATCGAACATGAGATGGGTGGTAAGAGGATGGGCATATAAGAGTAAGCAGACAGGGTTGCTTCGTAACAGTGGGAAATTTAGGTCAACGTATTGAAACACGTGCTGGTTGGTACATATTGCCTAATTAGGGCTTGATCTGTATAGGATCTCTATCAGATGAGATGACAGACAAACCCCAGTTGGATCAATGATGAACTGCCCAGCGTAAGACGTCATACAACTGCTATCAGGAAAATCAAATCCAGATAGCATAATTATATTATCTCTCTCACCAATATTTTTGGTCAAATGTATGATGGTATCAAAGATGTTCATTTGAAGTGTACGGCTGTTCTGAAAAAAATGTTTTACCACAAATACTACTTTCTTTTGAAACAGAAAATGTTTGTTTCATTGGATTTCATTAATAAGTTCTGATTTATTATTTATTATTTAAGAACCAATTTTTCCCTTCAGTAAAGCATGGTAAACATGGTTCTGGGCTGCAGCTACTGGCTATTGTAACAAATACGACCTGGTCTTGAGCCTCCCAAAATGTTCTCAACATTACGCCTACCTTAGATCTATATATTAGAGTATGGAAATACAGAACAGTTATTCAGAGAAGGAAGTACAATGTGACACAGTTTGCAGATATGAACCACTGAGGTGAAATCTGATAGCATGATGTGTGACAAACCAAGAATAATAATAGCCGAGTTGGGATGCAAACGAAAATAACGAGAAACAGCTAAAGGTTCAACTACACAGCAAATACCAGGCCTGCTACCGCATTTGTCTTATTCAACATCAATAATAACAATCAGTGAAAATAACAAGTGTCCACCATACAGATATTATTATTATTATTATACGAAATTTATATAGCGCACATATCCAGGCAACTAGTGCTTGCTCAAGGCGCTGGTATTTTTTTCCCTCGAACATTGGATGTCAATCTCAACGGCACATTGTGTTGTCAATCTCAACTCCCTGGAGAGTATGCAACTCCTGCAGCCACTAGGCGCACCGAGTTATTGTGGCTTTCTCATCCTAACGAGGTACCCATTCACAGCTGGGTGGACTGGGACACATAGTCACAGTACTTTGTCCAAGTTTACTGCACGTTGCTGTACCCACAACTAGGTGTTTGCACGTATTCATGTGGCCACATCTGGTCATATACCAACGGATTCGTGTTCTTTTAAGTGCACAGGGCTGTGTACTGTACACTAGGGGTTGTGACAACACTGAAAGAGTCTGCACGCAAAGTTGACTCCAAGGTTTTTACACCCGGTCACAGGTGGGCTCGATCCCGATACCTCAACCTCGCTGGATGATGCCTTAGCCAGCTAGCCCACCGCGCCCCACAACATATAGAGATATGTTCACAGTACAGGAATACCTCAGGATATCACTGTTTGCTTCATGGTGATACATGCAGGGACTGCCGAGGAATGGAGAAAACGATGATAGATTAATAACCTTTAGGGTCATGTTTTTACTCATATCTGAATTGTACAGATTTGCGGTAATCACGTACAAAAGTACTCCACCTGTATGAATCCTAAGGGTGCAGATAATCTGTTAAAAGGTTAACGTGTGTCAAAGGTTGTAGCTGGTTCAAAATATAACACCTAAAAACTGAACATGTTAATATGCATACTGCCTACCGTGTATTAGATTTCATATTGATACATTCAGAAATTGCAGTCATGGGCAGGAATAATATTTTCAATATGGCCACCCTGGCAGCCATGTTTAAATGTCACAATACTTAGTGACACCATGTAATGTTTTCAGACCTAAGTGAGAGAGTTAATTCATTTGGTGTGAATAAATGTAACAAAACCTTTCCCTGATCACAAGAAGCCTGTCACTGTCATCTGCATGACTCAAGTGGTATCATGAATATGAATTTATGACTTGCTATCAAATAGTGATGAAACTTGGTGAGGAACAGGTCAAAATAGGGAATCACATATGCATCAAATATGAAAATGCCATAAAAGAACAAAACTCATAAAAGACTTTCCTATGCCCTTTCACATTGCAACTCTGACAAAACAGCTTCTCGCATTGCAACCTTGACAAAACAGCTTCTCAGCAGGAGCCACTGATGCTCTTTGAGATTTGTAATACTGCTCTAAATAGTTTTTGAGTTAGGTCATGACCTGTAAGCTTGTGGGAGGTCTGTGATGTGATGTTCAGAACTTTTGTGAACCCTGAACACAGGTATTGAGACTGCTGACAAGCCAAGAAACATAATCAGGTAGAAAATTCAAACCTGTGATTATAGGTTTCTGGTACTGGTAAGGGACAGAACTCTGTGCAACAAACTGTCTCATAGTGAGATGACTGGGCGACACATGGTGCCCACAATATAAAAGAAGGTGGACAAACAACAGATGTTCAGACAAACTGAAAATGTGATTGATAGATTTTCGGAATGACCTCCAAACTAAACCATGGATACACTTGTTAAAGACTAACATCCAGTGACTATTATTTCAAGAATAGTTATTGAAATCCTTCTGGGTAACTGAGCCTTACATTTTATTGAGAAATATCCATATTACATGTCACATGCCAGGAACAGCCTACCTTGACATTTGTCCTCATCCAATGCGCTTGAATGACACCATAAACAAAAGACAAAATAAGGAAAATACTTTATTTGGTCATTGACAAATCAAAGATCAGAGGTGAGTAAAATATTTCCAACATCATGGAGATCAATTTGAAACCCTATCATCCCTAAACATTTCTAAACACACACAAAACTATATATACAGAATACGAAAACTGGTAAAAATATGTAAGCATTACACTATACAGCTGTACATATTTACATGGTAAAAGGGTAAAAATGAGTATTTGAAGGACTTTTCTTTTCAGATTTTAACTCCTGTATATTTCAATAACACTGAATGATTTTGACAAAAGTTGGTTCAAATAAGCATAAAAGAACATAATGTTTTCATACGGTAAAATCTAATAAATAAAAGCTTTATGTTTGTCTTTGGGAGCTTGAGCTTGTAAGTTTATGATAAAAGGCTTTGAAACTGTTTCAAACTTGGAAAGTTGTCATCGTTTGGGATATTTACAAGAGGCTATTTTATCTGAGAAATTATTTAAATAAGAAACTGGAGCAAACCATAGCTTAATACAGTACAAAAAAAAACTAGTGACATGTGCAAGGTACAGACTGAAATCATCCTTGCAACGTAGGGCTACAAGACAGGCAAAGATACTCTGATACACTACCACATCATGCCACCTAACGTGGAAAGGAAGCACAATGTGACAGAGGCCATAGATTAACAACTTATTCTGACACCCTCTTTAGAACCCATGATGCAGCACTGCAGGAAGCAGGCCTGCGACCACATGGCCACAGTCTACCATATTACACGTAATCATGCAGTAGCAATATTCCATAATTATTATTGCAGGGCAGACTGGGTCTTCTGTGTGTCAAACAAGTGCTTTGACTACTAGGCCAAGCTGCTGGCCCAAACGAAAGTTAGAAGACTACTTACTATGATGTGCCAAAGGGTGGAAATAACTTTAAAATTGCTAGTGTACTCCGGTACAGTGGCACATGTAAAATCACTTGCCCTGATCAGTTTTCCACTATACCGGACGTTTTCTTGTTGATTTTTTAAATAAACAACATTATTAACATTGGAAAGTCAATTGGACACCGGTACAGCATGATATACAAATTTGCTTGCCCGACAGAAAAAAACACTGGACTCGGACGTCGGGCAATGGGTTATTTCCACCCCTGTGTGCATATTCTCAGAAATAAGTCCAACACTTTGACAACGCTGATCTAGTGCCAATACCTGGAAGGCGCAGTGTCACATCTGCTTTTCAGAAAGACATGTCTTTGTGATGATTGAATTGACTTCAACAGTATTACAGCCATGTAGGTATGTAAACATGAGGTAAAATATCATCCCTGAACCAATGGTCAATAGTATGAGCAACACTGAGGTAAGCAGAATCAGGATACCAATCATCCTTTTTACCATACACTCCACATTGCAACCTATTTTGAAACTATAAAGTCACATATACAAGCTTATCATGATTATTCTCTGGTGTTTTCTTAACTGCCTTAAAACACATATACAAATAGCAACTTTACATATTTAACGCCCCCATAATTATGATCCTACATTTCATAGGAATTGGAACAATATTTACAAAAAGAAGTTTATCCTGGAACATGATGAATAACACTAGTTTGTTCTGGAAATAACAAAATATATGCATCAATCAAATTAAAAAACAAATTATTTATGAAACATTTTTGTTTGTGAAAATGACTGATGAAAGCATATGTACAACTAATTTTAACCATGGATACAATCTAAACATGATAACTTTGAGGTATACACAAAGTCATGGAGCATGTTGTCACCTCACAGACATTTCTCACAGCAAAGGACTTTATCCTTGGACAGAAAGTCCCCAATGTCTATTACTGAGATAGTACTTCAAGGGAGGTAACTGCAGTGAACAAATGTATTAGATGAAGTGTAATAAAAGTAGCATCAAATAACTAGAGGACAACTCGCTGAAAACATTTATAAATATTGTCCAGATACCCTTGAGAAAACAATATTGCATGCAGCTTTACAAGTAGAAACACTGGGACAGTATATTCCTCTAATACTCTAATAATCACCAGTTCATGAAATGTAAATTACTGGAAAAGAAAATTCTTGTACAAATGTATTTGATTACATTTAATCATGGACATTCTAAGTCCTGATTTCAAGGAGCAAAATGTGCTTTAAGTGACATCAACATGATATATTCCAAATAGTGTCATTTTAACCAAAAATGATGATTTTCAAAAATATAATGGTATATAACAGTACCCAACCTCACTAAGAATGATATTGAACATATATGTCAATATACACGCATCATAATTTAACATGCATCAACATCTATCAATGAATTAACATATAAAATGACATTTTACATATGTCAATAGCACAACTGGGAAAATATATTATTCTATCAGTATGGATTATCAGGGACTTATTTAGGATATCAAATTTCAATGAAGGGCACGGTGGAACTGAATTTTATGCAATATCCATTTTTCATTTTTCCAGTTTTCAAACACAGGGAACCCTATCGCAATTGAACAACCAGTAACTGTATTGCATCAAGGCAAGTTAACATCCTACCACTGCCTCCCTCACCACTGCCTCCCTAACCACTCCCTCACTACCATTGCCTCTCCTACCACTGCCTCTGTAGCACAGCCTGACCAGCTCTGTCATACAATAAAGTGAAGCCTTGTGGCTGATGGTACAATAGTCTTGGAGATGTCCGTGTAGGGTGAACAGGGTTGACTCGTGCTTGGTGCTGGTGGCAGAGAAATTAAGAATTAACCTGTGGGTAGCTGGCGGAGACGTCTTGTAGCTGGCGATAGTTCTTCTTGCGCTGTTTTCTGATGCACATAAAGAGGCCACCAAACATGATGATGATGACCGGGATGCCAAGTCCAGCTGAGAATGACCCCAATGACCAGCAGGGAGACTTTGTCCATGGGTGGGTTGCCATAGCCTACTGAGGCTGTCCTGGAGATACAACAGGAACGCTATTACAACAGGTAGATCAGTACAACAGGCACATACATACAACAGATCCATCCACACAACAGCTACATCAGTACAACAGGCACTTCCATACAACAGGCACATCAGTACAACAGCTACATCAGTACAACAGGCACAGTCATACAACAGCTACTTCAGTACAACAGGAACAGTCATACAACAGACACATCTATACAACAGGCACATCAGTACAACAGGCACAGTCATACAACAGGCACATCAGTACAACAGCTACATCAAAACAAACTTCAGATCATATCCCTCATGGATAATTAAAATAACACCATTTTATGAGAGACTGACTGACTGAGTTTGGTTTTACGGCTTTTAGCAACATTCCAGCAACATCCACAACAGGGGATACAGAAATGGGCAACAACAGGCACATCCATGTGGGGACAACAACAGCTACATCCATACAACAGCTACAGCGCTACAACCACTAGGCTACCCCAATCCATCTTTATGAGAGCAGCAGCACAATAACAACAGCTACATCAGATACATCCATACAACAGGCACATCCATACAACAGCTACATCCATACAACAGCTACATCCATACAACAGGCACAGTCATACAACAGGCACATCCATACAACAGGCACATCCATACAAGAGCTACATCAGTACAACAGCTAAATCCATACAACAGGTACATCCATACACCAGGCACATCTATACAACAGCTACATCAGTACAACAGGTACATCAGTACAACAGGCACAAACATACAACAGGCACATCCATACAGCAGCTACATCAGTACAACAGCTACATCAGGACAACAGCTACATCCATACAACAGGCACATCCATACAACAGCTACATCAGTACAACAGGCACATCTATACAACAGGCACATCCATACAACAGGCACATCAGTACAACAGCTACATCAGTACAACAGCTACATCCATACAACAGGCACATCCACACAACAGCTACATCAGTACAACAGGCATATCTATACAACAGGCACATCCATACAACAGGCACAGTCACACAACAGGTATATCCATACAACAGGGACATCCATACAATAGGGACATCCATACAACAGGTACATCCATACAACAGGCACATCAGTACAACAGTTACATCAGTACAACAGGCTCATCAGTACAACAGGCACATCCATACAGCAGCTACATCAGTACAACAGTCTCATCAGTACAACAGGCGCATTCATACAACAGGTACATCAGTACAACAGGCACATCTATACAACAGGCACATCTATACAACAGGCACATCCATACGACAGGCACAGTCATACAACAGGTACATCCATACAACAGGGACATCCATACAACAGGGACATCCATACAACAGGCACATCCATACAACAGGCACAGTCATACAACAGGTACATCCATACAACAGGTACATCCATACAACAGGAATACAACACCAATACAGCTACATCAGTACAACAGGCAAATCTATACAACAGGCACATCCATACAACAGGCACAGTCATACAACAGGTACATCCATACAACAGGTACATTCATACAACAGGCACATCCATACAACAGCTACATCAAAACAAACTTCAGATCATATCCCTCATGGATAATTAAAATAACACCATTTTATGAGAGTGCAGCACAATAACTATTCAGTATTCAAATTTGCATGCCAGTAATTTGACATTGTGCATTTTCTGAACGATGCTAAATTATGTAATTTTTATGATAAAATAGATGTTTTATACTTATCCTGACTCGTGCTTACTGCTTATCTCCCTTCTACTTTCGACGGTTAAGTAGAAACTTGAATCCTTTTCAATTCCCTGACGCGATCATAAAATCACTCACCCAGAGTAGTCTCCCTTTTTCCGCCAAATCGGTCCCACGTGACCTGAGTCTAGATTTCGTCACTCTCTCCCGAAATTAAGCCCACATTAGGTCTTTCAGTGAAGCCCGTAATGCTGAGAGGGGACGGTTGGGAGGGCTTTAGATCATGAGTCAGGATAAGCATAAAATATCAATTTTATCATAAAAATTACATATTAATCCTTATCCTGACTCGTGCTGATTGCTTATCGAATCCGACGGAATATCTAGCGGGTCAGCCACCTGCGGGATTCACTGTGGCTGTCAGTCAAAACAGTCTGATCGCACACACCCTGGGAACTCTTCTTGCGGCCTTATAGTTGTCTACCGGTAATTGACATATCTGGGGGACCACCTTCCCTTAACTCATTAAAAGAAGTAAAGCTTATAGATTTTGTGGATTTTAGATAATCTAGTAATCTACAACGTCTAGTTATCTTAGAACGATCAATATGTTAAGGCAAGGACAGTTACCGAAACTGGAATCGCAACCCTTAAGTTAAGTAAGGACCATTACTTAACCAGGTTTGTATCACTGATGTGCTGTCTTATCTAGTAAGACAGGGGAACATGGACTCTCTGCTGGTGGCAATGGGCCAGTTGCCTAGAGTCAAGGAGTCAGCGTGATCAGAGTTTCTCAATGTCTGGCTGGAATCGTGAGCTGTTGAGCCACTATAAGTGGACCGAACTGGTGAATGCCTGATACATCCTCTGTAACAATGTCTTGTAGATAGTGGTTAGCAAATACCGCAGCCTTCCATGATGGGTGATAATGAGCAATTCCCATGTAGTGCGAGAGTCGACGCTAATGCTCTAACTTTGTGTGGGTTAGATGCTCTAGGTGGAGCTAGTCCTGCTGCTTTGCAGGCTCGTAAAATGACTACTCTGATCCAGAATGAGATTGTGGTTCACGAAACTTCAATAGTCGTAGCGGGTGATAACGGAATGAAGAGACGTTTGAACTTTCTCGTTCTTGTGGCAGTCTGTTGTACAGCACAACCAGAAATTATTGAGAATTTAAAGATTGTAATTATTTTTTTTTCACTCATTATTCACGTATTAAATGTGAATATTAGCAGAACATAACTCCAGATTCAAAGACAGGTGAACAGTTAGTATTTTGTCAAGTCACCATGGGCAGCAATGCAGGCTTCAATGCGGCGCGGCATACTACTGATCAAAGAAGTTTGAAAGTCGTGGTCCATGCTGTCCCAATATCGGACCACCTCTTCTTTCATTTCAGCAATATTTGTCAGATTTTTCTTATTGACACTTTCCTTCATAAGTCCCCAAACATTTTCTATTGGATTTAGGTCAGGGCTATAGCTTGGCCAATCTAATAATGTCATATTTTCGGTCCGAAACCAGGCCTGTGAATGCTTTGAACACGTGAGCACATGGAAGTAAATGTCCCTCGAGAATATCTGTGTACCGCTCACTGTTCATATTCCCTTCAAATACACAGAGGGGCGTTGCCCCTACCACAGGTATGCCACCCCACACGTTAAATTTCAGACTGTACTTTGGGCGCTGATACAAAGGTTTTTCAGTTTGTTTGGTCCAGAATTTCAGTGTATTAGGAAACAGCCACACACAACTTTCATCTGAGAAAATCACATTGTCCCAGTTAAAATTTCTATGCTGTAAGCACCACTTCAACCTTCGCTCCTTTTGTTCAGGTTTCATGATCGGTGATGGAATTCCTCGACTTTTCTGCCAACCCATTGCATGCAGCTCAGTTCTAATTGTCTCCTTACAGACAGCCACAGTCCCTCTATCAATCATATCCAGCCTTAAGTTTTCTAAACTCCTTCGTTTCTTTTTAGAAACAAGAATACCAAGCCGCCTCCTGTCACCGACAGTCAATTTTCTGGGCCTACCTGCGCCTCCCTGCTGCTCAATGCCATATCCATTTGCAATATTTTTCAAAACACAATAAACAGTGGACAAAGGGATGCCTGTTCTACTTGAAATCACTTTAGCTGATCTGATGTCCATGTCATAATACTCTAAAATCAACTTCCTCTTCTCTAAATCATCCATACTGAGAAACACTGAAAATGTCGTCTGCTAGCAAGTAAACAAAGGGGGATAACTCTTCACAAACTAATGAAAAAGGATTAACGGAGTTGTCTCTCTTGAATGAAACCAAGCACTTGATAGCTGGTCAAGGTTGTTTATACTAGAAATCCAATTAAACATATTCCTAAAATTCTCAAGAATTTCTAGTCATACTATAAGTAGATTTTTAAAGCTCTAACTGGGCATAGGGACAAGTCCTCTGTGTCTCGATGTCCGAGGACTGATGACAAGGCTGGTACGTGAAATTGACGATCTGGTTGACCAGGTAGTTGATTCTTAGCTATAAAGTCCCATCTTAGTCCCGGGTGGACTGCAGCATGTTCTCCTGTGTGGAATTTCGTTCATCCAAAGTCGAGAGCATGTATTTCAGACCTTGCTGCTGTAGCTAAGGCTAGGAGAAACATCGTTTCTTGAGTTAGTAGCTCAAAAGTTGTGTCTCTTAGAGATTCATAATCATCGCTAGTGAGGTGTTGCATCACTATATTGAGGTCTCATGCTAGGGCTCTAAATTTTTGCTGTTGATCCTCCAGTTTAAATGATCTCAGTAGTGCGACGAGTTCAGGAATTTCATTGAGAAAAGTGAGCTGATCGCCGCCAGATATGTTGAAAGTGTAGATCCTTTTAAGTGTCTAGGTGGTCTCAGATGGCACAGATATTCTGCTACTTGAGGATGTGTAGCTTTCACAGCTGTGAATCCTTTACGTGTAGCAAACTGATCACAGTTTTTCCATTTATCATCATAGAGGTTTCGAGTTGAACGTCTCAAGGCCAGTGTGACTGCCTTCGCAGCTCTAGTAGAATATCCTCTTTTCCTCAGATAGTGCGTAATACGATTCATGTGTGTAGCCGCAGTCCTGTTGAGTTGCTGTGAGGTAGTTTTGTTTGAGGATGGATCAGTAAGTTTGGCCAATCTGGTAGGCTCAGCGTCGGTTCTCCTATGAGTTGTATGAGTTCAGGAAACCCTGTTCTCGCTGGCCAGTAGGCCGCGACCAAAATCAGTCGTAGGTCTTTGGTCTGGGCAATCTTGCGTAACACCTGAGGTAGTAGTATCGGTGGCGGAAATGTGTAAGCATTTAGTCCTTCCCATGATATGGCTAGAGCCTAGTGCCCACACTTGAGGGTCTGGCACTGGTGAGATGAACATTGCAATTTGATGATTGAATCATGTCGCAAATAAATCTATGAGAGGACGACCTTGCTCCCTCGATATCAGTTGGAATGCTTCCTTATGCAACATCCAATCCATAGGAGATGGCCGAACTGGTCTGGACAAGTCATCTGCTAAGACGTTTTTCGCTCCTGGAATGTGACAAGTTCTATCCATAAGTTGAGATTGTCCACTAGGTTGAATAGTTGAAACGTCAGTTGTAATAGAGGCGCTGATCTTGTTGAACCATGTAGGCTTATGTAAAACACTACTGTCAAGTTGTCTGTGTGCCCAGTGTTGAATTGCCTCGATCACTGCCTTGAATTGCTAATTTATGTGCAGACTCCTTTCATTTGGTGACCAAAGTCCTGATGCGACCTCGTCATTGAAATGTGCTCCCCATCCTTGCAGGGATGCATTGACTAAGAGATGTAGACTTTACACCAGCTCTTGCAAGTAAGACCCGTCGCAAACGTTCGACTTGTTTGTCCACCAGGGTAGAAATTCCTTCAGATGTTGAGGAATGGGTATCGCCTGTAGGCTTTCTAGATGGGGTGTTAGGAAGCATTGAATTGGATGTAATTGCAACCTTCCCCTGCGAGTCAGGGACTGTGCTGACGTGTGGAAGCCCAACAGTTTCTGCCAGTCTCTTATCAGTAGAGGTCCGTTCAAAGCACTGTGTAGACAAGTTTGTATGTTTATCCACCATTCCTCTGGAACTACTATGCGATTCTTTGTGGTGAGGAACTTGATTCCGAGGAATTGAAGTTCATGTGATTGTTGTAGTTCCTATTTCATCAGATTGACCAACCATCCCAGTTGTGTTAGTAATCGGACAGTAAAGTCTAGCTGATGTCTGAGCTGTTCTTCTAGTTGATACACCTGAATGCCGTCGTTTAGGTAGAAGGCGCTGCGAAACCCTCTCTGATGTAAAAACGCCAGTATGGGTTTTGTCACACGTGTAGTAAATAGCCAGGGGGCCAAGGAAATTCCAAAGCGGAGTACCCTCCACTGGTAATGTTTTCCTTGGTATAGGAATCGTAGATATTTCCTCGAATCCGAATGTATGGGGATGTGCAGATAGGTGTCTTGAAGATCTATGCTGGCTAGATAATTGTTGGGTCTTATTAGATGTCTCAACTGTAGTAGATGGAGCATCTTGAATTTGTCTGGTTTTAGTAGATAGTCTAGGTTGAAGCGCTTCATGTTGCAAATGAGGCGGAACTTCTCCTTGGAGTTCTTTTTGGGTACTGGGAAAATTGGAGAATAAAAGCCTGGTGTGAGCTTGCCAGTAGTGATTCTATGGCTTCCATCAGTTTGTTGCGTTCGGGGTAACGAGTTGGTGTCGCCTTGAGCTGAATCTCATAGCCTTTCGCGTAACACCTGTAGAACATAGTCATCTTGTAGAATTCTCCAGCTTTCCCAGTAGTAACCTAGACGTCCCCCCAATGTTGAAGGTTACACCGGAACGACTGGGGCAGGGACAACCCAATCGGTCCGAACCAGCTTTCCCAGTAGTAACCTAGACGCCCCCCAATGTTGAAGGTTCCACCGGAACGACTGGGGCAGGGACGACCCAATCGGTCCGAACCTGATTTTCACTGATGCGAGGCGCGGAGCTTCCTGATGAGCAGCCTCTCCCAGAGCATTCTCTTCAGTTGTCGTATAAATTACGAATAGTGCTACATTTTCCTCCTCGAAAGCCTGAAGCTTTCTTATCCTTGGCCTTTTGTATGCCTGGGAATTTCGTTCGAGCGAAATTCTCCCCGATATGACGATTGCCGATTCATATTGTTCATCGTCTGCATGGATATGATCATTCTTTTGCGTAACGAGTGTAATATAATCCTCTCGGTCTCTGTTTTCGGGTTCTGGAAGTTGTTGATTAGAGCTTCATTGATAGCTCTAGATCTAGCTAACCTGAAGAACATACGCCTAGTAGTGGTATCTAGGTTCGCCAACTTCCTATCCTCTGCTTTGTAGACTTAGAGTCGCTGATGATATGAAAATCGTCATCAATCTCTGGCACTCTGAAGAATGGTTCCATACTATGTAGTGGAAATTTCCTTGCATTAAATGCCGGTGTATGTTGACCTTGATGTCTAGTAGCATTCCTTTATAGGTGGGATCGTCAGCGTGTCTAAATCCTCGTCCACTATACGATATGTTTCAGCCGAGTTCAAGTGTTGAGTTGGTGAAGATATCTGTATGCCATCCGCTACCCAAGACAATACTTCAGAGTCTGGGTATATATTTGAATCATCTGGTTTGTCGACGCTCGTATCTCAAGCTGGTGCTTCCTCATGGACAGAATCAGTGACAGATGCCATAAGTAATTGACTGTTGACTCTCCGCTGAACATTGTCGAATAGCTAAGACTACTTGACGTGTAATTTGGTTCGTCGAATTCGAGGGATTTGCAATGTATTTCACTGACGACTACGATGAGATGAAGAGCTTGGTTGTTGAGAGTTCGCAAACTCTTAAGAAGACATTAATTTTCTTTCAGTCTGTAACGCCACAGCAGACAGGTTTGCGGATCCTTTCGCGAAATGTGTGTATACAGCAGTGGAAACAAGTAGTTTGTGGTGAAGTGTGCTGATTGTCAGAAGAAGGGTTCTCGGACCCTGACGTCATAGACGACGATCTGCGGTGAGACAAATGTTTCCTTTTAGATGACGACGTCTTCGAGGAATGCTTCTGCGAACTGGGGTTCGCGCATTCTACAGGGGTACTAGTAGGGCTGGGACGATACACTATGTCACGATACGATACATATCACGATATTTTACCTGCGATACGATACGTATCACGATACATACACCTTGAAAGAATGACACGGTATCAAGATTAAAAATGATTTATTTCAAGGTATTTGTGTTTAACAATAACACTATTGTAATCAATATACAAGTAACTCCATCATACTTGCGTATTTTTCTCTTAATAAGTACTGTAACATGTTTAAGATAATACTTTTTTGAAAAAAAGTTGTGTATCGTTTTGTATCGATACACCAGTCCACGATACGATAGCTGTATCAAACTTAAATGTATCGCGATGCATCGATGCATCGGTGAATCGTCCCAGCCCCAGGTACTAGTAGACGTATTCTGGGACGTCGTCAAGATGATCTGCTGTTCTAGAACCGGTGGTAATCTGTCAAAATACGACAAGGCATTCTCGAACGATGTAGGAGTATGCAATGATCTCTGATCTAGTAGACGGTGTAGATGACATAGATCTCGCAGATGATGACTTTTTAGACAATCTAGACACTCTTTTTTTTTTCGCCAAACGTTGTAGTTCAGTCTCTTCCTTATGAGGTGACTTCCTCTTAGAAGTAGATTGTGTGGCTGTCTCTGTAAGAGCGACCGAGACAAGAGGGGATTTCTCCATAGTGCACTGTGACATCTCACTCTCCGTTGCCTGAGAATCACCCCACACAGCCCCTGCCTTGCTGATACGTTTTTGTATATCTGAGACCTTGCATAAACGTGCTAGCAAACATTTATTAAACAAATCTGTTCATAAATGATCACAATATTTACAACGTGCTATAAATGAGCACGAATGAAGACAACAAGAGGGGCAAACAGGGTGAGGATCAGCTGCAGATTAAATCTGCCCTGTTGACATGCCACCATTGGCAAAACCCACCTGCAGCACAGTGTAAATACACAGAATTTAGTGGAAATTTACATGGTATAATACATAGTGACAGGGGTGGAAATAACCCATTGTTCGACGTTCGAGTCCAGTGTTGTATTGTCGGGCAAGCTAATTTGTATATCACGTTGTACTGGTGTCCAGCTGACTTTGCAATGTTAATTATGTTGTATATTTAAAAGATCAACAAGAAAATCAGTCGGTATAGTGGAAAAATTATCAGGGCAAGTGATTTTACTTGTGCCACTGTACCAGAGTACACTAGCAATTTTAAAGTTATTTCCACCCTTGAGTGATGAATCTAAAATGTATCTAAATACAATTCACGGCCACTAATTTAATTTATAAGGCTATATAAGGCACTATATATGTGCCGCAAAGAGGACCCATAAGTCCGCCCGACCTTCAGCTAGGGCGATGAAGGAGAGAGTGATGAGAGCTAGACTCAGGTCACATGGGACGAATTTGGTGGGAAAAGGGAGGCTACTCTGGGCGAGTGATTTTAAGATTGCTTCAGGGAATTGAAAAGGATTCAAGTTTCCACTTAACCATCGAAAGGAGAAGGGAGATAAGCAATAAGCATGAGTCAGGATGAGTGAAATCATTGATACAATGGTCATTTGTGATGGGTCTGTGGGTTACTACTGCATACTACCTATACATAGCGTGACCTGTCAAAATATAGGTTCTCCCATTCCTGTGGATTATAGTCAATGACAGCATTGCAAACTCTATCAGGCCCATGAGCTTCTATTGACACTCTAAAACCATAAACTTTCGACACATACATAGTTGAATTTGACCCAAGCGTGAAAATTTATCAACTAATTACAATCAGGAATGTAACGCATCATAAATTAGGCAAGCTAAATACGTGGAATACATTTGATCTCAAAAGTTTGATACCAGTTAGCTCGAATAGGAATGTCACCCATGATTGTGTGAAATCACAAATTCAGGCAAATAATAGGTGAGAATGTATGGATGTCTTTATGATGAGGAACACAATGAAGGAGTAAGAATATACTCTGAAACATCATGTTCCTCATTATATAGAAGTTGACATCCATAAACTCTCACTTACCATGTGTTTCCCTTCAAGATATCATTTGAAGACTTCATAACTTGTGGCTCCTGTATACCACTTACCATGACGTGTAGTTAGTCTTGGTGTAACAGCCATCCTTAGACAGTCCAAATGATATATTGGTGGTAATGGCGTTCATGGAATCCGTAAACAAGGCATCGCTAAAGTAAGCATAGGCCAAACTGGTCTTGAGCAAAGAGGTGACATTCTTGGTGTCCCCCAGCTCATAGTTCTTCACACTGGTGGCCACGGAACGGGATCGAGGAGAGTCCTGGTAACTGACCGGCTTCCATTGAACAAACACTCCATCAACTGGGTCTTTAGGTCTGGCCATCAAATTGGTAATCTGAAATTGATATAAAGATATACATATGTTTGGCTTTTCCTGTCAAATAACAAGTCCATATAATTGGAATAAATACAATACTTTCATGAGTTACACAAGTATGTGTGAGATGTGTGTGTGAACGTGTGAGACGTGGGTGTGTGATGTGTGACGTGTGTGTGAAGTGTGTCTGTGAGATGTGCAAGATTTGTGAGATGTGGGTGTGTGATGTGGGTGAGATGCCACTCAACTAAAGCATGTTAATTTATAAAGATTATGCTGAGACGAAACTCTTTGAGTCTACCCTTCACCAAAGACTACCTTCCCCCAGCTTTGACAGTGGAACTGAATAATGCTGAAGCCTCACTTACTCTGAATATACCTGGCGTGTACTCATCATCAATAGACTTGGTCTCTGCAATAGACATGTCTTCCTTGTGACTGTCACTGATGACTGCAAGCTCTACTGCAAACCTGGACATGGAGAAGGCCGGCTTGAAGTTGTCAAGGGTGAAGTCAAACTGAGTACCGTTTTCGTTGTACTGAAGATGTGGCAGGTGTGTTTCACGGGATTGGTCAGCATATACCCGGAACTAAGAGGGAAAGGATTTATAAGAAAAAATCATAGCCACATCCACAAAATATTACCTTAAATACAATTTTTTGCTAAGCTACAAAATTAATAAATAAAACCATGAATAATAAATGTTTTATTTTGCAAAATAGCATCAATACAGTTTCAAATATTATATTAAAAAATACATCTCAATTTTGTACCCCCATATTTCTTAATGACACCATATTGCCAGAATGATGTCAAAATAGCCTAACTGTTTTGTGACACTGAAAGGAATAAGCAATGCTACAACAAAACAATGTTTAACTACAGACTTACTCAATGCCCCAGTGTCAGTTAGCGTCAAGTGTCAACACAGTGATAATGTGTTCAAATGTAAGTGTAACTATGTAAGGATCCCTTTCCTAACCCACATATAAATCAAAGTGTTAGGGACAACTTCTTAGACCCCTGGACCCCCATACGTGTTATGGGTCGTAGGATAGGCCCACATGACCACTGTGGTGTGAATATCACTATTACCAGTAGACATCCTGAGAGGGGTGAGGTGACTGATTATTGTTCTGTTTACAGATTGATGGACATGATAAACAGCACAACTGAAATTCATATTTAAATGCCACGTCCGTTTGTGGTACCCATCTTTCATGAAGACCCAGAATTGGAGTCACCCAGCACATGAACTACATGAGTTATCTCCCTTGCGATGCATCATCTTTTTGCAAGGTGTCAGAGCTAATATCGTTTAATCTAAAGGGCAACTTTGCCAAAATGATTATTTATTGGTTGTTTATGTGAGGTATAATATGCTGTATATCTTAGTTCTTGTGTTGGTTGTTCATGATACCTGCATTAAAGATTTATGGCATTATTTGTGTATTGTGATATGTGCTTGGAGTGACAGAGGTTTGAGGAAACTCACAGTAAAGGACAGCGATGGAGTGTAGTTGCGTGGAGCATCTTGACCCAACATGTTATCGGTTGAGTTGGTCCACCTAGTTGAATTAAAAACAAAAGCATTTTCCTCTCCACTGACTGCTGACGCTTCCATCCATTCAAATTCATTGAAGTCTCTCACAACCCGCTCCGTACTGTTCCACATCGGGTAGGAGCTGAGACTTGCGGCATCGGACGTGTCATTGTACTCGTGCAGCTGTAGAAATTAGGAACAGTAAACATGTCTGTCACATAGCTGTGAAAACAGTGAAAATAATGAGTAGCTCACCCGAATATGTAGTCAAAGGTTTAAAATGTCAAAAATGCCATCTAAGTAACCTTGCGGTCAAGAGTCATTACTGAAATCGGGCCGGTGGGATAGCTTAGTGGTTAAAGTGTTGGCTCATCACGCCGAAGACCCCGGTTCTATTACCCACTAGTGTTGGGAATTGGTTGGAATCTCACAATTGATGATTGCTTTATTACCAACAGACAATCATCGAAATAAATTGGTTAGCGTCATTTTTCAGATTTTCTTATCCAGGTTGTTACTGCAGAAAAGTATAACATGTTGCAACTTGCTACATTAAAGTGATGACTAATATATCATGAACATAAACTTCCTGGAGTCTTAGAGAAATATTCAGTCATGACTTTCCAGTTAGTGAAGTGAGTTTTCTAAGAAATAAACATGTTTTCAGGCCCTGACAACTTCTAAGATATGTTCCATTGTCAAGTATTTCAAAGACTAAAACAGTAGTTCCAAAATCGTTTATGTTTTTATGAGAAAATGTGATCGATTGCTTGGTCGTTTGGTCACTGCGACCAATCTTCGATTATTTCAATTAATCGGAACACCATTATTACCCACATGGGCACATTTTGTGAAGCCCATTTCTGGTGTCCCCCATCGTGACATTGCTGGAATATTGCTAAAAGCGGCATCAAACTAAACTCACTCACTTACTCAACATTCAAATATATTCTTATTTAGGACTGAAAACTAGCACAGTCATGGAACATGGCAGAAAAAAAAATCAAAAGTTTTGTCCTCACTCTGGTGATTTCAGATGCTAATATTTTACAGAGCCATATATCAGCTGATATATACATTTGAAAGTTAAGAAAGAAATTGAAGTTAAGAGCATGAGTTCACCACCACTACAACCTCAACACATGTTACATTTTGTTTTATTTTAAATAAACACAAGGCAGAATAGAGGCCTAAAATAGGTTTACGAACATTACTGTCATGACAGTTATGTTGAAAATCTGATTCACTCCTCTTGACTGACTGACTGACTGACTGAGTTTGGTTTTACGCCGCTTTTAGCAATATTCCAGCAACATCACGGCGGGGGACACCAGAAATGGGCTTCACACATTGTACCCATGTGGGGATTCGAACCCGGGTCTTCGGCGTGACGAGCCAACGCTTTAACCACTAGGCTACCCCACCGCCCCACTCCTCTTGAACCATATTTAGTGATAGAAATCGTGCTTAGAGGTGTGCAAAACCTGCTAACTTGTGTTAAATTCATACTGTTGAACCAAATACCTATCAAATAAAGAATTTTAAATGGTATTTTGCCACTTCTCTGAATATCTTGTGACACCTATTGTTAAACATTTTGATACCTTGGATGCTATGGGATACACTCTTTTATCATATTACTATTATGACTGTAGGACTATTATTGTTTCCATAATATTTAAAAAAATTAATTAACACAATCAAAATCTTCATTAAGTCCAACAGATTTCCACTTTTCTAAAAGTCTCAATGGCTTAGTAGGTTAGATTGCTGATGATCAAATGGTGATGAGGTGCCACACTCTGGTAGTGTGGGTTTGAATGCCAGATGGGACTAAATCAAAACAATTCCTGAACATCTTGTGATGTTCCTGATAGGAAGGTTGACAACTCTGAACTAGAAACTGTTTAAATATTTATTTCTTCAGTTGATCTTACCTTTGTAAAAACCACAGCATAGCTGTAGACAACTTTACTGGAATCACTGACTGAAATAGAGTCATTATTAAATTCCTCTTCAGTCATAAGTTTTTCCCAGTTAACACTCAGTTGACTATTTGCATCTCCTCGTGTGTGAATCACAAGCATTGTTGGAATGTGTATCGTGCTGATAGCATAATGCACGACATCACTTTTTTCTTGTGCTCGAACGTACACAAGATTGGCAAAACTGCCATTGTAGCCAGTCTGGCATTCTGGGACATCACAGTTGTAGTTAATTTTAGTGGTAACCTGCAACAGAAAACACAATCATTACACAATAACTACATTCTTCTATTGAATTACGAGACAGTGTATTTTAAGTTATACTGCGGTGTTTTAACTTTATCATTTAGCGTGGACCTTGTCTGAACTGTTATACTGATTTTAAGGGGAGACTTAGTTTTAACCCTCATTTTAACATTGTATTCCGTACACCATGGGCCTGAAAGACCCAGTCATACCATACTTCTGGGAAGTGAAATTTCTAGTGTTCTTTATATAATATAGCGTCATGCACTCGCGCTTTGGCAACATAATCATGGAGCGTCTTAAACAAAAGGTTGTGTCCAAAGGGTATTAAACAATGACTACATTCTTTTATTGAGTTACGAGACAATGAGCGAGTTGGGCTGACCACTGCACTGGGGTGTATTTTTAGTTACACTGCTGTTTTAACTTAATCATTTAGTGTGGACCCTGATGATGACTTGATGACTTGTTTAAAGGAATTGGTGCTCTAGTATCAATCACTGGAGTGACTGGTTGAGACGTGACAATTTACAGGCTGAAGGAAAACCAAGTTCTATGGATAGTCAACTTGGTTTTCCTTCATCTATACAACTTCTAAAATGCCTCTCAAAGAAATTTACAGGCTGCTGTCCTATAGCTGAAAATTTATGGGTGCTCTGTAAAACAGTAAACTAAACTAAAACTGACTGACTGACTGAGTTTAGTTTTACGCCGCTTTTAGCAATATTCCAGCAATATCACGGCGGGGGACACCAGAAATGGGCTTAACACATTGTGCCCATGTGGGGAATCGAACCCGGGTCTTCGGCGTGACGAGCCAAACGCTTTAACCACTAGGCTACCCCACCGCCCCTACTAAACTAAAAAGTGACGATTTTGGTTCACCCCCAAAACCATCAGACATACATGTAACATACACTTGGATCGAGGCAAATTATGTGGCTACAACCTCTAAGCTACCCACTCATCCCTGAAAATAAACAGGGAGAGACAAGACACCTAGGCTGCTCACACATTGGAAAATTTGGAAAGATCTCTCCCATCACTTTGTAATCAGATGTCTTTATCATTAACATGGCTAAGTACTAGCAACGGTTTTACACTTATCTGCATAAACCATATTCGGTGATTCAATACTTTGTGTTAACATAGCATTAAGTTTCAGAAAAAAGTACAACAGTGCAGATTTTGGAAAACAAAAAAACTGCCCCCTCTAAAGCACTGCTGGTTGCTGTCTTTGATCTTGAATCCTTCGTCAAAGTTAACTGATGGTGAAATATAGTACATTGTATATGTATTTAGAGGTAAGTGACTACATTCAAAATGGAATAATGCCAAAATGGAAAATACAATTTGGCTATACTGACATTACAGGTGAGGTCAAAAGGAACGAGTGAATTATCTGTAATGTTTGTTACTAGACAGGAAGCTGATTGACAACATCATACAATGTAATTGCTGTTAGACTCAGACTTGCAGCGTGCAAATAGGTGCCATTATTCCCTAATTCCAGAATGAGGCTCCTTGTTATTGGTCATGTGACCATAGACACATAAGCTAACAATACTATGTATTAAGATCATTACAATATCAATATATTCATATATTTTTCACTGAAAGTGACATAACTTCACGTATCCACAACGACATGAACATGCATGGCGCCCCCAACTGGCCCAGACTTCCATTCTTGCAGTAAGGGGTAAAATCTGATACTTAGTTATGTTATGTCATATTTAAGATCATCTTTGTTTTCAATGTGATATTTCACTGGTAGTGGTATTCTTTGACTTGAACTGTTATATTTTAAACTGTTGTGTAGTCGGTTTTGGCGCTGGTCCATTTTCACTGGCACTCTACCTATACAATGTACAGCAACCCAAACCTGAAACTATTAGCAGATTAGCATGTAGACCACTAGACAACCAGTGGACTACATGGATTCACCAATTGCCTTCAGTGTTTATACCTGTTAAAGAAGAGGTATTTCACTGCAACACGGTTGTCTAGCTCTGCGAGTGCGTATAAGCTCCGCTCACTGGTGTTTCATCTCTACAAGCTATGTCATTGCATAAGCCCAACTATGTTGAGAGTTTCCAGTAGTTGTATACCGGCGGATGAGCAATTTTTTGCAATATAAAGAGAGAAAAGAACCCATCATGCTAAAGAAGATGTACAATCATGATGATCTCGTTTAGAGAACAGTCTACACTTACAAGAATGTATTTTACTACTGTTAAAAGATGGCGATGGAGTAAGAGCATTCACGATATATATACGACAACGAATGGTTCAAAGTGTATACGATCAGCTGATAGTGAATGACAACGGTTCACTGTGACAGATACTGGCCTCAGGGCAATTTCTCCCACCAAAAGAATAGCATCTCACTTATCAGCGCAATTTCACGCTATAGTCAAATGCAATCATGGTAATACGAAAATGTCTTACCGTCCGTTTACAACTGGCGGTAGCAATAAGGACAAGCAAACAAGTTGCCACTAACGCCATGGCTTCCCTGTGTGCCGCCATATTGCTCAAGTCACATGATCACATGACTAATGTAGTCACATGATAAGGAACTCCCACAATACAGTCGTTTCTCACATGTTTCAGATCATGTGCAAAAGTCTACTGCGAAGACCAAATCCAACGATTGACGAGGTCACAGGTTCGGGACTAGACTAAGGCTTAGTCTCTGAATATATATAATTTTGATAGTAACAAAAAAGCCCATTTATATTGAAAAGGAGCCCAAGGGAGCCCAGAGATTCAGAACCTGAACCTGAGGAAATCTAGACTTGCTTTATTTACGTTTTTAGCACTGCAGAGAGGGCTTGGCAGTAGGGAAATTAATGTGGTTCAGGGACTGTGAGACAGACTAATTCGGGACTGACGCCAAACATTCATACGGAACAGATAATCTATAATTCAAAATTTGGCGTAAATTATTCTACATATTACTCGTTAGCGATTTTAGAGAGAAAAAATCGCAGGGATTGTTAACCCTACGGATTCATATTGGGGAAGTCGATTATTCAGATAGCGTCAGTTTGTGACGTCATATAATGGGTGGCATCATAAGTAAGGATGGGGGGTATATGGACGAACAGATTAGTGTACCCGTATACAAGTTATTAGACTGTGTGGTTGAGGGACATTTATACAAGACCAGGGAGAATCTGACAAGATTCTATGAGGAAGGTTTTACTCCACAATTACTGAAGCAGCGTGACATTATATATGGCCTCACGTGACCAATCAGCATTTAGCATCGATTAGTATGCACGTGCAAATATCGGAAAGTTATTAAACACCACAGTTCAAGTGATATTTCTTTATTGCTAACGTCTGTGTATGATAGAGAATCTAACTCGACTAGCTGTTTTACTGGTTCAAACAGTTTAAAAGTTACTACACATATTACAATTTGTCGAAAATATTTTGGCATTTATCAACTAATCATGAAATATTAACTTTTGAAAACACAAGGATTAATGTTCCATACATGTGTACTTTTCAGTTGCAAGAGATTCACATTATCAAGGTCTGGAAGATCTGTTTACCCGAGTTGTATCATCGTAAGATGCTTGAAAGAGGCTGGTCTGTAACATAAATTGTAAATATATTTGAGTATAACAGCGTAGCATACACATGCAACCAGATCTAGACTGTATAACTAATTACTTGTTCACAAAATTTGGTGTGAGGGTTTTATCAGCAAGTTTTATCAAGGGTGTTGAAGGACACAAACGTTATTTTAACTTTGGGTGACACGTACTTCATATATTCCGCCAGTAGCTAAAGTGGAGAACAGGACAATTCATACACACTGAGATTCGAACACATACTTTTTCTTCTTTTTTTCGCAGACTCAAATGTTGATGAAACCCTGAAGAAGTTGGTAGGGTCGTCCTGTATCCGCTAAAGTGATGACTCCTGGGCTATATATCACAGGAAGCTTAGGGTCGTCCTGTATCCGCTAAAGTGATGACTCCTGGGCTATATATCACAGGAAGCTTAGGGTCGTCCTGTATCCGCTAAAGTGATGACTCCTGGGCTATATATCACAGGAAGCTTAGGGTCGTCCTGTATCCGCTAAAGTGATGACTCCTGGGCTATATATCACAGGAAGCTTAGGTTCGTCCTGTATCCGCTAAAGTGATGTCTCCTGGGCTATATGTCACAGGAAGCTTAGGGTTGTCCCCATGGTCCCCGGCGAGGTTGATGTCAGACTTTAACCCGTGTTTTAAACAGTTGCAAATGATGTTATTATGTGTAAATATGCACGACAATTTGCTGTGAAAATATGACCAGAGACCACATAATAAGTATAGGCGGATCCAGGTGTGTCACAGTGTGTGCGTGTGTGCGTGCAGGGAAGCGCACCCTCCCACTTCCTTTGTCCTGAAAGTTTATTAATTGACCATTGAAACACTCGTGAAAACGGGTAAAAATTAAGTGCACAACCTCCACCCCTTTCTGTAAAAGCTGTATCCGACCCTGTAATAGTTGTGTTATATAGCCCCTGATATGACGTAGTATTTAGGATGCGCATGCCTATGTACAAGCTTGGTTTCGTCGACACATATGACTGAAGTAACACTTGTGGTGCGACGTTAAATATTAACTCTCCCACCCATCCAAATCACTCCTGTAACCGTTTCTGTTTGGCAATATCCGGTGTCTTCGTTGCGTTGTAGTTGAGCTATACTGAATTAAGTGGCAGAGAGCTGAGTGATGTCATTTGATTGTCACGTCATGGTAATGCCATCCATGAGTCGTTATCACGCCAGAACTGGTGGATTGTGTCTCGTTAACTGGGGAACTCCCTTCATTTTTATTCAGGGAAGAGCTTTAACCCAACGTACCTGGTTTGTTGTTACAGCAATGTCATATGAGACGACATACGAAATAATTGTAACATGAGAAGAAACACACTGAGTTTCAAGACAAAGGTGGTTGGCTTTAGATGTTTACGTTCTCTTCATCGTTGTTCAAATGAGACATATATGAGAAATAACATTCACCATTCCATTCAAGAACCCGTAATATATAATAAAAAATCCTTGAAGTAATTGATCGTCCAGTTGTGAAAATGTTTTTATTGTTTACAGATCGTTTCTCACAAATATTTTTTAATCTTTGGATTATAAGCTAACACGTGTTGATTACTTCAACCAGGGAAAATCTACAGTCTTCTATTCTCCCTGCTTCAACTGTACTTATTTAACTATTATTAATTATTCTGAAATGACAACGCAATTGTTGATATCGACATTTTGACCGACAGTAATGACTTTCTGGATTAACTTAGTAAAGATACATGTGTCAGATAACAGACCTGTATAAGGTGAGTGAGTGAGTTTAGTTTTACGACGCACTCGGCAATGTTCCAGCTGTATGGCGGCGGTCTGTAAATAATCGAATCTGGACCAGACATCCTGTGTAAGGAGCTAAGACAATAGACCTGTCATTTATGACTGACTGATATTAACTGCTGCACGTTCTGGAACATTATTGATAACTATATTTATGTGCGTGAAAGATCGTTTTACTCTTTTCACTGGGTTGATCTAATCCTTTTCATCGGTTTGAGCGGTTTTGGCTTGCGAAATGCACAGCTACAATTTACAACTTCTTTGAGTGGCATTTTAGAAGTTGGGAAGTACAATAAAGAACAAACTTTATGGATAACAACTTCTTTTTATTCGTGAGTGCGACGTTTCGATACACATGGCCATGAAAGAATTATTAGATTGTTAGTCTATCATTCTAGTTGGAACTAAATTAAGAAAGTGTTTTTTCTTAGGCTGAAAGAAATAGAGTTACAAATAACCCGAAACAAATAATTGTTTTCATTTTGAGTTATTTAATGAAAATATCAGTTATCAATATTACTCTAAAGCAGCGCATGCGTCCAACTTTATTCTTTGATGTTAGGAGTTTCGAGAGACCAAAAGAGTTGTCTCCCCTAGCTGCAGCGCTGCCTGGCGGCTTCTAAACACTAAGATGCCGAGTGGACATGCCCAAGATATGCCCCCTCAAGGGGGCTACAGCAACATAGAATGGGCAAAGAAGTTCCCAAAAAGCCGATTTAGTGGTAGGCAACGACGTACAGCTGTATGCCACACGGTTTTTATTTTTATGCTGTCATTTATTGCATCGATAAACAAGTCGTCAATATGTCCTATTGCCCTTGGATTTTGGAAGTTTTGTTTGGTTCAGATTGGAGAAAAGATGGACTCATTCTGTGTCATTTTTGTATTGCATCGTAATTAGGGTGCATGTGTGAAACTGTGGCATGATTTCTGTATGACTGAGTTAAACAGATAAGATCATTGGAGACAAAGATTACAGTGACGATGAGTGAGTGAAAAGAAATTTGCAACGGCGAACTTGCTCCTGAATAGGAATAGCTACTGGAGACGGATGTTTGTAGGTTGTGAATGTTGATGTTAAGAACTAAGCAACAACATGCAAAATAGTAGTAAGGCATATAATTATAAGTCTGTTGCAATCAGATGAAAATCAAGATATATGCTACTCTACGCTATTGTTTCAGTAGGAGATACATTATCCTAATGTGTTTCTCAGGAATTCAAAGGCATGTAAACTGTACTTTATTCAACAATAAAGCACACTTTGTCACTTTTGTTATAATGCTCAAACACCATGTCACTGTTCATCCGTGTTGTAATATATCCATGGTAATATTGTTCTGTCATTATTTTCAATCATTATAGTGTGTCCACATAAGTTACTGATTGGTGAATTCAGAGGCCATATAATAGATATGGTCTCTGGTGAATTATACTAGTAATTGAGTTTTATTCCATGGGAATAACCATAGCTAGATGCTGGCAACCACCTCTCATGCACTTATTCAAACCATGGTATCCAGGCCACACTGGTCACAGTCCGTGTGGATATTGCTGCCCTGACCTCGGAATTATGATTGCACAATCCTTTCATAAAGTTCCACAGATACTCCTTTTGCTTAGTGTAGGGATTTTAGTGACTTTCTGCAAAGACACAATGCCATTTGGAAAGTGTGTGCTGACGATTAGGTGCCTGACTCTGAGGGTGTGGGGTCGAGTCCCGGATGCAACTGAACCCAACAAAAGTACTAGAATCTGTACTTTACTGAGAAAGTGTAATCCCAAATATAGCACATGTTACATTTCTGCAGTCAAACCAAATGACTGCTGTTTATTTTCCTCAGGCATGTTAGCCATGCACCAGGGTGCCATTGTGCAAAGCAACCTTAGTACTAAGACAGTAGTAAGTCTATGTTATGGTAGGGGAATTATGATCACCTTAACAGTAGGATCATGCTGTACTACAGCAACCAGGCCATTAGTTCTTATCGGTATCAATATCATGTTGTGTAACCAAGATGGTCAGCAGTCTGTTTCATGGCTCGCATTTCCTGCAGTCTTCTAAATAAGTGATGGGAGATATAGTTGGACAGAAAACACCTGAATAAATAAAACCAATAGAAGTGAAAATCGGCTATGTTGTCTTAGTTCAGCCCCACAGTGCACTGGTGGAAAGTTTCGAGTCATGTTATTAAACTGAAGCAAATTAATGTAAAAACTTCAGCTTAAATCATACGTATTGCTGATTATGGATGATGAGACACTGAACAATTAATACATAATACATCCATTAATCTAAGTTTGGAAAGTGATAAAGTTTGCTCAACCCCTATGTGTAACAAATTAAAATTATACTTTTCCCTGTTAACTATTAAAAAATAAAACAATCATTGGCTTAGAAATATTCTGAATCCTATACTGTTTATTGACCATTACACTTACTATGAAATGATGTATGATTCCAGGTTACACACAGTTTGGTATGTTCATTGGATTTACAGCAGCAGCGTGGATAGCATTTTACTTTCAGCGAAGAAGAAAGGAGTAAGTGTCTCTTTGTTGTCATTGTACTTTATACAAGGCTGATTTCAGAATTCATTTTTACTTTTAAAAATGTATAGTTACAGATAACCAGGGGGCAGTTGTCCAGGGGGCAGTTAGCCTGATACCAGTTACACCATGTTTATTTCATGTATATACTGTAAGGTAGCTTCTTTGGTTACTTGTCACAAAAATACATGAGAATGCCAACCTCTTCCCAGTTGGACCAGCATAAACTGGAACACAAATGCATTTTCTATTTAAGATTTAGCAAAAGCTTGAATGATTTGAATTTCTCAATCATGTCAAGAGTTTAATGTGTTGTAAGCAGTATTTAAAGAATCTGGGATTTATGTAGACCTGCTGTAAAGCTGATTATTGGCCCCAAGCCTTTTTCAAATGTCAAATACTAATAATTCCTATTTTAGAACTAAAAGTTTCGCAGCTATGACTAATCACTGATTGTTTGCCTTTGTAGAGGCAACTTGTATTTCACTGAAAACAAGATCAGTGAGTTATTAGGGCTTTATCGCTTTGTTTATATTGTTGTGTTAAATGCAATCTCAAAACACCCCTAAATTTAATAAAATATGAACTGTTATAAAATCACTATTTTGAAGTAATTGACTTTTGGTCCAAATTTCCCTACCAGGAGCACTTAGATAAGGATACTAAATAAATCCTTTCAAGATGTGCACAAATTCTGGATCGCTTTGAAAATATGAACAAAATGAATTAATGAATATAGTTTTATGAAAATGAAAGCTTTGAATGTTAACAAGGGACGTGTCTTGACTGCTGCCCAGAGCTTAGCAGATTTCTGCACTAGAAGCAATAACCAGCTCACACAACTTACTTATTATTCTGTCAACAAATTGTCCATCATCCACAAACATTCTACATTTTTTTCCTAGTGTTTTTTGATGCCTGAATAACAATAGTATTGTTCTCAATTGGCATGATTAGATTACAAGTATGAGTGATATTCACTGACAATACTCATCACTACAGTTGATTCATGTAACAATGTTACCCATTCATGTGTTGTATTTTATTACAGACAGCTTTCACTTGAAATGAGAGAAGCACGGCTAGCCATTGTACCCCTCCTGCTAGCAGAACAGCAAAGACTGTAAGTACTTGTTGTATTGTGATCTTACTGACCAAGACTGTTTCCTGTATCAGTGTTTGTTAAAGTTTAACAAGAAGACAAAGTCATCAATATCCCCCGCAATGGCAAAATACTCTTCAGGAATATGTCTACGAGTTATGATTATGTCATATGTTTTGGTTTATGTCAACTTGTTGCCATGGAAACGCCAAAAATGTTTTATTCAGAATTCCAAAACTACCAAACGGCACCAGTACACCACCAGATCTATCTATGTACCAAGTTTGGTGAAGAAATATTTAACGGTTTTAGAGTTCTGCTCCGGAAAAGACACATGTGCCCGGACGGACGGACGCACGGATGGAGTCCATTTTAATACCCCCCACAAAACGTGCTGCGGGGGATAACAAGGGATGGTGGGGTAGCCTAGTGCTTAAAGCAATCACTGGTCACATAGAAGGCCTGAGTTCGATTCCCCTGCCGTGATGTTGTTGGATTACTGCTAAACGTGGCATATCACTCACTTACTCACTATAGTGTTATAATTCAAACAAATTGTTTTTAAGATGGATTTTGCTGAAAAATATTTTTGATTTTTAAGAAAATGATAAAAATAATTTAGTGCAGACATTTGTTTAAACAGTGCTAAAAGTCAGATGTCTGTAAAAATATGCAATATAATATTTCCTCCCTTGGGTCCAGTCTATTGGTTTGTCTTAAACTAATGAGTGAACATTCTTTTGGACTTAATTCTGTTTAAAACTCTGTTTTTCCAATTTGCAATACACCAGCAATACTTGTCTCAAGATAATGTTCTTTTTATTAGTCACAGCACTAAAGTTCATGTACATGTATTTGGTTTTGTCCTACTTTTACATGTTTAAGGTGCCATGCTATGATATACACAGAAATGTACATTAAACTCACTGCTATCATTTGTAAGTAAGTTATAATTGCAGATATCTTGACTTCAGTCATTTGCAAGAAATAGTCCATTCCAATAGTTTTGATAAATGTATCATATGTGCCCAATATGGGTATTCCTTGGGACCTCTTGGAGTTACAATTTGTTTTCAGAATAGTTTCCAGTACTTCTGGCTTGTTGTTAGTGACCTTATGCCAATATGCTGCTACAATGTGGACTGTTTATTGGCTGTTATGACAGTTATACTCAGACTGATGAATTGTTTCTATTGCTCAGTTAGCATATGATCATGATGATAAGATATTACCTAAGTAACTCTCACCATGTTGAAATACGTACAGTCGATCTAAAAAAGCTCAAGTAAATCAACTTAAAAATCTACCATGAAATTGAAAATGCTTGATTCTGATTGGTTGAAAAGGTTTTTTTTTTTACATACTTAAAGCACTATTAAATATGTTCAGACTTAAAGCACTTGGTTCCAAATTGGAGAAAGAGGTATGGGACTACATCAAATTTCAAAACACAGTAGGTTTGTCTCCTAAGTGCTAACTGTAGGAAGTTTGATTATCTAATGCTATTGCTAAACAATTTTAGGTCTTACACTTAAGATGTTGAAGTTTGTCGTACTTGACTATTTGGTGCCAACAACCTGGCTCATCTCTGAAATAGTAATATGAAAATAAATGCTGATATTGTCTGCTCTCTACTTTATTACTTCCAGTACAATTACACTAAAACAGTGATAGACATGGACACTACTCTGTTACTGTTAGTCAGAGACGAGTAATAAACTAGACAGACTGTTTGTTTTATTCCCAAATCAAATTATTCCACATATCCACTAGTCTGAATGAGCTGGATTTGACCAATAGAGTCTGTCTCTGTTACACATACTGGCCAGGTTGAAAAATTGCTTATGATAATGTTTCATTGGACTGATGCCCCAGAGTCATCCCTAGTGTCTTCTGTTAAGCTGAAAATATGAGGCACATACCCTCTCACCTAACAATGCTGAAATCATATGGTTCACTTTAATGAGTAATAATGATCTACAGTCCAATACCATTCTGTTCAGTATAAATCTAAATGATATTATCAGAACCTAATGTGAAAACTTCTCACTAGCAAAGGCTATTAAACTGTGCTCAGGACAAGTGTCAGTCAGATTATGGTAGTCCTCATTGACTAGTAGTTGTACACAGTTAGAACTGACAGAAAACATTAGCATTGTAAAACAATATAATCTCATTCAGCAGAACCAGCAACACTAGTAATCTGAACAGGTCAGAATCACGCATGCACGCACGCACGCACCTATGCACACACTTTCTGAGGCTGATGTGAGGTACATGTATTATACACTGGGTAGTTGAGTAAGTTCCTGCTCTGAATAATATGTCCCAAACTGTTCCAGGTACCTAATGCAATTGCGAGCTAACCGAGATGAGGAGAATGAGCTGATGAAGGATGTACCCAACTGGAAGACAGGCACTCTGTGGGGGGAGCCAGTGTACCACAACATCGCAAACCGATTCATTATGCCATCCTCAGAGGAGTTCTTTGCTCATTGCTCCTACAGACAAAAGTATTTAGCTGTCAATGAGAAGTTCAAGCATTGATGAGTGACTTTAGGATTTTGATATTCTTGAAATGAAAAACTGCATTGTTCTGTGCTGCATTATGAGAAACAAGTGCTTCGTTTAAAGCAGAGGTGCACATTTTGTTATCATCTGTGAGATGTTTCGATGTTTGGAACTTTGTGCACTTGTGAGAAATAGCGTGTTTGAATAAACCCTGTAGATAAATCAGTCTTTTGTTGTATATAAATTGAGTTGGAAAAGGTTTTTGCTAAATTCACAGGTTTCAAATATATTTCTTCAAGCCAAGGGCAACATGTGGTAATGGATGGCGGTCACCTCATGTGAAGTCATGATGGACTGAGGTATTTCCCATGCAGGTTTATATGTTTTACTGATTTGAGTGTGTGGCCTACTTTTCAGACTGTAGATATTAATGGGATTTGCTCAACCTTTGAAGTATAGATGAATAACCTTCTCCATGTGATCAAGTTTTATTCATGTAAAAATATTCAACTTGCCTGTTGATATTTGGCCATTAGAGTTATCCCCAACAGGATTGTTTTGAAAAGTTGACACAAAAACGAAAGAAGTATTTTGATTGATAATATTACATTCTGCAAAATGTAAAATGTATATATATATAGAGCAAGTAAGTCTTACAAGTTAAGAATTTTATCAAAACATTCCAAAAATGTATCTGCTCCATGAGGTGACTAACAAGATCTTGCAGTTAGGTTTGCTAACTTTGTCGAGTAGAGTACAGCATCTGAGTAGAGTAGACTGGTGCTCATGTTATCAATCACTGGATTGTCAGGTCCTGACTCTTTTATTATAAGATCACTGTCATATAACTTTAAGCAGTGATAAACAAGAAAAGAAACAAATAAAATTAATATACATCTCATACTGATGAGCATTTCTGGTATTTATGATTATTAAAGGCACTATATCACACCACACCACACTTTACTAAAAATAAATAATGCCTTTCTCTCAATAATACTAACAATCAGCCTTCTGGGAAGGTACCATGTAATTTATTCGTAAAAAAATTATGTCTTAAGATTACAATATTAAATTAAAAAGTTAGAATGAATTAATGCAACGTTGCATTAAATGGACTCTCGCACCCTCTATCGGCTGAACATTATTTCAAGCCAACCCCAAATAGTTATGTTCCTTGGAGCACTCTTTACGAATATCATACACACTACTTGTGATTGAAACCAGTTCGGCAAACGCTGACAACACCGCGTGCGACAATTTTCGTTGTAATGAGCAATTGTTTACATATCATATATGGCAAGTGTTCTCTGTTTGGAAGCTGTTCGCCTCAAAGTTTCAATTATTGATTACAGGCATCGAAAATGTGTGACATTGTGCCTTTAAGATCAACTTTCTATCACTATAGTGACACCACAGGAAATGTTCCTTCCTGACAGTTTTTGAGTTTGGAGAATTAAAAACAAATGCTCATATTGCAGAGAAATATCTTTATTTGCAACTGATAAATATTTTCCAAACACAACACGCTGTAAAAATATTCGGTCATCAGTACTTCAGTGTAAAATGAATAATGTAAAGGTGTAATACTGACATGTATAGAGACACTTTATATATAAATGATATAACTTACCTTGATCACATTCTCATATAACTGACTAGAAAATATTACTGGCATCATCATAACATGTAAATTAAAGACTAAATTCTTGTAGGCTTATTCTTAAATTATTATAATTTTGGTAAGAGCTTTGTGACAGAACAGATGTTGCTGGTTTTTAGCAATAATTAATTATTGTTCTGCATAAGTCATGGCAATTAAAGCACTTGTGACCATCACAACATATTAGCTGCATTGGCGTAATATATGTTCAAGGATTTAGTTCCACATCGTATGAAACAGTCCCACGAAGACGTAATCCATTTAAAATATTATAAATTTATTCTGTCTGAAGAATAAAACATATTGCAGAATTTATTCAATGAACCAATACAGTTAAGGTTGACAAGATAGAAAAGGAATTGCAACCAGGGATAAAAAAATTACAGTCAGTATTATAATTATAAAGACAACAATATTTTTTATATTTTCAGCATCTGTCAGTATCATGTCCTTCAAATATGATTTATCTGATTTAAATTTGATGAAATTCTTTTCAACAGAAAAATATATATAGATCCTTAGTTTAAGGCCTTTCAAAAAATTACTTTCTTGAGTGGAAATGTGACTTGGTTTTGCCAACTTTACCTCGAAATGGAGCAAAATCTGAAACTGCTTCCCTCGTGGATTCTAAACCACTCATTCTGACTGCTATATTTCTCATGAACATATACATTAAGAAGAGAAATAAATGAACCCATCCCAGGTGGAAGGCAATGAAGAAGCCCTGTTGTGTATTTGTTCAAAATGTCAACTAATTTCTTTTACATGATGGGGCTAAGTTTAGTCACATGATATCAGGAGATTATTAACATGGTATTGACATTATATTGAATAATGTAGCAATTCACTTTCTCAGTGTTTTACTAATACACAAATTCTCTCCAGGAACATTAACCTGTATGCAGATTACCAATACAGTATGAGAGACACAACAGAGAAATGGTCGATAGGCAAAATCTGATAGTTCAAATACACATGAATTTAAACTGAAAAACATTCATCACAACACACGCTGAGATGTTTACATCAAATATAAAATGTAAATACAGTCTTTCTAAATATATATAAATATATCTTGAGCAAATCGCACAGCAGCAAAAACACCAGAACACTTAAAGTTTAAATACTGGTTGGTTGAGCAAACTTGGATATAAAAATAACATGTACCGGTATACTAATATTAGAAAATAATGGAATTTTGCAGCTTATTCTTATTGTATGAGAACACTCCAGAACAATTCTGATTGGTTGAATAACACATGGAATTGTGACAATTATTTTCATTGGATGTTAACATACTGCATGGACATGTTCTGTAAGGAAACTGTTTGACAAACAAACTAACTATTCCAAATACTAAGTAACATTCTGTGAGCAAACATTAAACAGAAAAGGGAAACATGCTTAATAAGAACTTCTCTGGGAACCTGGAAAGTAAGAAAAACATATCTGGTAAAACCTATAGACACGAATACTGATATATAAATGATACATCAAAGAGCTGATATCCCATCTGGTCTAAAGTAAAGGGGAAATGGTAGATGAGCTAAAAGTCATGAATATGTATGTCAACAAGCAGTCCATGGAAGAGCTTAGGTAGACAATATTGCTTGGTCAGGAAAGCACAGCTAAATATTTGACTATGGATGTTGAGCACTTGGGCATGCAGGGAGATGCCTTTGATACAGTGTTACAAAGAAATAATGTCTTGTAGGCAGCTAAGTTGATATACTTTGTATTTAGTGAGACTTTAATTACAGCTGGAAGTGTCATGGATTACTGTAGGTATTTAACCTTTAATAACTGATAGTAAAAGTTTGAGAATGAATGAGGATTATGACTTGTTTGTACATCTGGACACGCTACCCATGTTGGGTCTTTTTGATCCATGTCAAAGTTGGCCTTTTCATGCACAACGAAAACTATCAGAAAACTGTGCATAAAAAGCCACCATAACAGTCCAGATATATATATTTCCAAGGAAGACAAGTTTCCTTTCCATTGCTTTTGAAACAAAACATTTGGTGTCATTACTTGACATCTCACCACAGAAATCATTACATAAATTTGGTTTACTGTCACCCTTGAGGAGTGTTTGGATCTTTGACAATACATCTATTAAAGATTGGAAATGTCATCAAGGAAGCCAAGTATATATACTACTCACACTTTGCTAATGATCACAAATATTCCCAACTTTTCTTAAAGATAGATTTATAATTTGAAATTGTATCCATTTAAAACTAGATAAATAATGATATGGTAACCCCTCTTTAGGCAGACAGCCACTTTAATCTAACCTTATGCACTTGATATGTGAGAACCATAAAAATGGTTTTTATGGCACCAATTAACCATTTTGCAAATCATGGAACGAGTCATTGACAAGTACACAACACCTGTGAATAGCAGGTATGGGATCCACAAGATGCAGTGATATACTGAAACCTAGGATTCATGCTTACCGGTACAATAAGCTTAGATATTTAAACGAAATTATACCCCACATCATAGTTTTCCGTTGAATCAATGGTTTGATCCTTAGCTAAGTGTGAATAGTATATTTCTGTACACACAATGTTCTCGGTATATACTACTCACCAGAAGGTAAACAACTGATTCTTTCATATTATAATTTGTCATGACAGGCACTGTCACTCTCTGATGTTTGTTTGCAGTATAATAATATGGTAAAGGATGTATACTTTAACTTTCTCAGACTATCAGGAAAGTATTAATGTGGGCATACACTTTGAAATAAGAATAATTTCTTCAATGTTATGACCAAATCGTTTTTACCATGTAGAATGCATATACAATAAACTGACAGATATAATGAACTGATTATTTTGGTCCCAACCACTTTGCCGATTTGCGCATTATGAACTACACTTAAAGCGAACTAACATTAGTGGTCCCTTTGTGGTCATTATATACGTAGTTTACTCTACTGTACTGTTAGTATTTTAAATTTATATTTTATAGATTTATCAACAAACATTCGTCTTGACTTCAAACATGATTGGAAATCAATGCACTGTACAATGTGGGCACAAAAAGAAGCATATGTGTACTTCACTTAATGATATTTCTAAATGAATTTCAACTAAGTTAGTGGCTGGAAGCAGTATCTCAAACATTAGCTGACATCTGCATGGTGCCAAGGGGGGACGGAACTCTTCTGTAGTCTCCCTGAGTCATAGGTGTACTTCTCTGATGTCTTTGGTGTGAAAAGGTCACCATGAGTTGTGTGGAAAAACATGGTTTCTCTCAGTGGAGGGAAGATGTGAGACTTCCTCAACTGTTGTTAAAAAATACAAAAGTAATTATGCATTTTTGAGACATTGCAAATTGCTTTCAAACAAAACTTGCTGTTATGTCCATATGTCTGAAACGAGTTCTTTTTACGATGTATAATGCATGGACCATGTCTGACATGATGACAAAATTGGAAATGGTGGTTCAGAAGCCTTAAATATTCACCTAAAGTCAGCTAGCATGTGATTACTAAATAGTGCTGAGAACAGGTGAAAGTCCAATGGTGTTTGTCCACATTGACTTTTGGTATCTGAAGCCACAATTCTGAACCAGTTCTGGGACTAGAGACATGAGGTTTACCAGGCCTGTTGACCCATCTCCAAAAAACAAAATTCTGAGGTGTTGGTTTGCTTCGATTATGATTAACCCCAGGAAGACTTACATTGTCAAGAGCCTCTTCCTTTGGCACTGTCTTGCCTTGCTTGGGGTCCTGGTAGTCACTCACAGTTGTCGGCTCAGGTTCCCAGCTGCCTGTTGAGACAAAACATCAAATTGTCATTCATATCACTAATGTTATTAAGGGGGCAGTGGGGTAGCCTAGTGGTTAAAGCATTCGCTTGTCATGCCTGGGTTAGATTCCCCACATGGGTACAATGTGTGAAGCCCATTTCTGGTGTCCCCCGTCGTGATATTGCTGGAATATTGCTAAAAGCGACGTAAAACTCACTCACTCCGCTCCACTCCACCCACTCAATCGCTCCGCTCCACTCCACTCACTCAATCACTCACTCATCCTGTTATGAAATTGATGGACAACTTACTGAATCCTGTAGTTTAGTTTACTATTTAAGAAATACAGTTCGCTCTACCACCATGTATAGTGTAATAAAGCACACTTTCGCCCTGAACTATTATAGTTAAAGCACAAGGACGCTTGCAGCGTCTGAGTGCTTTAACGTTATAATAGTTCAGGGCGAAAGTGTGCTTTATTACACTATACATGGTGGTAGAGCGAACTGTATTTCTTTTCTAAGATGCCAAATTTAATACTTGCTAAGGATAATTATGATTAATCTAAGACAGAAAACAAACAACGGTGTCAGTGACCTAAATTAAGAATCCTCGCACAGGGCTAACTGGCGCGCTGTTCTATTGATGTGTCTGCCCCATACGTTAAGACAAACGTTACCAGAAAATACAAATGATAAACAGTTTGATGACGGTTTACGTTCAGATTAAATATCTTCTCTAAATTATTTTTTATTACATCTGTGATTGCACGTAAACCATATGAGGCAATATGAATGTCGCATTCCTACTACCAAAGTAAGTTTAGATCAGTACATTCAGATGAAGCTGAGTAGTCAAGTGACATTCTACGATTGCATTGTGGGAATGTAAACATTGCAAACGTTACCGTGTCACTGAAAACATGTGAGTCGAAATGAAACATTTAAAACGTCGGAAAACATAAACGTAATGTTTCCACCAGTGACGTTAGCTGCGTGAAGCAACTGCAAACCAAGAAACGGGATGCAACAGAGTAGTTTACTGTAGGAGGCTGTACAAGGCGATGGCAACTGACATGCATCGTGACGTCACTTACATTGTGACGTAATGCAAAATTGTTCGACTACGAGGGGGCAGACTAGTATGGAATTACATTGTGACGTAATGCAAAAAGTGCACATTATCGTCTCATAAAGTACTGTCGGTGCCTTTGATCTTTCACTGAAGCATCTTAGAACATGGAATAATTATTCATACAAAATTCATTATTAATTATAACCACAACAAGCAATATATTAGGATTCAGATATTAGTAAAATATAAATATTGAATACTAGTTTCATCATGTATCAGTAATAGCTTAGAGAAAGACTCCAGGCAAAAGTAGTAAAACTCATCTCACACTCAGACATACTATTGAAAAAGATATAAGTTACAGCTGCACAATTTCACAGATGTGCAAGATAAATCCTAGCCTAAGGTATCAAGGACTCATCTGTTAGACAAACCTTCAGTAAGACAAAAGTTATGTCTAGACAGTTTGATAAACTGTTTTGATAGAGTAAACATGTCATTACCTATATTACAATAACAATAAGCAAACACCAATTTAGGGTCATTAAGACATGGCCCAGAGTAAGTGCATCTATTTCTTTGATCATCTAACATGTGTTATCCAGCCCAAATTGTCCTCATTCCAGCAACCACAGTTTCTTCTGAGCCAGATCTTATGCACAAGCCATCTTGATAAAGCTGTTATATTGGAGGACTATGTATCAACGAATAATTGCTCACTAGTCCAAGTTGTTTGTTCTCAGAGAACTGTCTTGGAGCTGTCAGAATATGTAATAGCATCTACTCACTGTAATACTTGACTGGTATGGCACTTGGCACGTAGAACTTGGTGCGATCATAGGTGTAGGGTGTTGTTTTAGGTTTGAAGACATCATCAGTTGATGTTGTGTAGGACTTCTCTCCCAGTACGGGGTCTCCGAACCACACGTTGCTCCGGGTTCGGAGGTTGGCGCCAGACACAATCTGATTGTGGAGACCTCTTGGAGGCTGTGATGACACACAGTATTGCAACGTTTACACAAATGGTGTCATACAATCCAGGATTTGGGAAATGTTTTCATTAATGAGTGAGTGATGTTTAATTCGACAGGAAGCAATATTTCAGCTATACATATAGTCAATCAGACATGTGGGAAATGTCTCACGCTGTTTGGATAGAACTATTACCTCTTTATCAAATCCCAGAGCCCGACCAGCTGATATGTTCATATCATATGGCTCACATTTTGGTAAACCCACCCTGGATCCATCCCTCAAGGTTCTTCATGTCTGTTAAAGTCCTGACATGAACTTGTCTCCCCAGCACATTTCTGTTTTCCTTATCTCAATGTTTGATTGGTCGATTAAATGTTGATGACAATCAAGGTTGGGTGATATAAGATCAGGAGAACCTTGGGAATGTATTCAGTGTTTCTTGTAGGTTCGCCAAAATACGAGCAGTGGTGATGTAGCGGATGAGTAATCCTGGGGATTCAGGAAATTAATTTTTGCCTGCTTGTTGTTTAACGCCATACGAAGCAATATTCCAGCTATATGACACTTGCTGAAGATATAAAATTCAGCCCAGATCTTCACAGGTCTTTAGAAAATGAAAACTTATCATAAATCTCAATGAAAAGGGAGGGTCAAATTTGACCAGCTGCGAAGCTACATTAACTAAAGGGAATCTAAAGTCTTGCGGGTGCTGGCACATCTTAACTCCAAAGGGTCTACAAAACATCTTGAAGAGATCTCTTGGGCACCCTTTAAAGAAAAACTACATCCCTGACCTTTTATTTTGATGGAAGAAAAAACAATGACTTGCTACATTCCCTTATTTCCCCTTCAGTTCCAAACCAAAATATACATTAGAAAAGGTTAAAAACATTCAGGATACTTTGCTCATCTTACACATCAGTTATGAAAAGCCCAAACTCTTAAACCATACCCTTGTCATGTCATATTACTAGGTTACAATCAAACAACACATAAGTTCTGTACTGTCAAACTCACGTTGCCATGGTAAAACTTGTTAGTTGTTGTGCTGACTCTTTCCACATCTCTATCAGGCTGCCGGTCACCCTCAGGGAAATCGCTATGGTTACGGTGCTGCTTTGGCACCATCTTCACAACTGAAGTCAACATTGCTTAGAACATCAAACTTTGTTAAACAATAACATGTATTTCTTTCATTGGTTCATGTGTATCTCATATAATTATTTTGAAAAAAACAACCAAAACCTGAATTCTGACTTTAATGAATATGTGTCTCACACAGCACACTTAGATACATATTCAGAAAATCTGTTGAAAAATAATATGAAATTCTGGCATTGATACAGTCACACTTGATAAGCCTCAACATATAAGAAAAGTAAAGAAAATATTTTAACATAAAGAAAATAAAAATCATATTTTCTTTTTCTGCTTGTTTTTTTTAAATGAGTAAGCAATCATGTCAAATATTAGGCACAGAAATGGTTTTCTCTTCACATGCCAAACTGTAAATTCCACACACAAAGATCTTGTTCCTTCTTCATGGCCTATTATTACATTCCTAAATCTCTTCATTGACTAATACACTTGTAAGTGTCCACTCTGACTTACAATTAGACCCTTTAGGCTTGAAGCAGGTGCTGGCGGTACTTGCATAGTCATTCCAGGTGCCGAAACCATCATGCTCTTTGAGATTTGTCTGGAACAGCACCTTACTCACATCCTCTCTGCTGTATGGCTTGAAGCTGCTGGCATCACCACGGTAAGGGAAGGATGTTCCTGTGGTGGTCTCCCTCATCACTATCTTCAGTGTATCACCATCAGGTACGCTGGTACCTGTAGGCTGAATCAAGCAAGTTCATTCTCATCTTAGACATTTCCAATCACAAAAGTACTTTCAAACCCTTACAAAGTTAAAGGCACAATGTCACACCACATTTCTCTAAAAATACATAATGCATTTCTCTCAATAAACTGTCAGCCCTCAGGGAAGCTAGTAACCACATAATGTATTCCAAAACAAAATTACGTATTTAGATTACAATATCAAATTAAAGTTCGAATTAATTAATGCAACGTCGGATTAAATCGACTCTCCCGCCCTCTACCGACCGAACATTATTTCAAGCAAACCCCACAGAGTTATGTCTCTTGGAAGGCTCTTTACAATTATCCTATAACGCAACCTGTGATTGAGGCCAGTCCGGCAAACACCGACAGTTTTCAATATATGGTAAGTGTTATCTGTTTGGAAGCTGTTCGCCTCGAAGTTTCAATTATCAATTTCAGGCAAGTCTTAAGAGATAATAAGTCTTTTATTGCATCAATAGGAAGTTAAAGTGAGTGTATATACCCCCAATATATAAAATATAGGCCAAAATATTGTGGAAAATGTGTGACATTGTGCCATTAAACACTTTTGGCAGCTGATGTAAATATAATGTTATCAACCAGAACCACTTGTAGTGAGTGAGTTTAGTTGTACACTGCTTTTAGCAATATTTCAGGAATATCACAGCAGGGGACACCAGAAATGGGCTTCACACATTGTACCCGGGTCTTCAGCATGATGAGCGAACACTTTGACCATTACTCTACCACACTTGTAATTCAAGCTACTATAAGTTATTTAAAAATAAAATAAAAATATTTTGTTATTGTGTTATCCTTATAATGTCTGTGAGACACTATCTGTGAGACAATGACAAAGTTGAAAATATGAGTTCAGAATGAGTAATTGATTGATAAACAGTAGTGTAGGGATGCTAAGGAACTGGTATATATTGGGGGTTTCAAACAAGTGAAACCTGAAGTGATCTTTTGGATAAGGGAAATGTTGAGTGCAGTGTTACATGTTAAGGGGGACAACTCACAGCTGGGAAGGGCTTCACTCTGGGTTGCCACTTTCCAGGAAACTGGTCACCAGTGGATGTGTCAAAATGTGTCATTCTTGGATCACCTTTAATTGTTGGGGGTCCTCCTGGAATTTCAATATAACATATGTCTTGTCAATCAAATTTATTGTTTACTGAACAGAATGGATTTTTTAAGATATAAAGCTTATCATTAAAATTCCATAACAGGTAACATACTAGGAAAAAACAAATTTATTACATTTGGAACAACTTTTGCATCCATATGATGAGATATAAGGAGAAAAAGGTAATAAAAGCTTTAATGCATTTATGCAACGATTAAAATTTCCATTTTGTACTCACCGAAAGAAAAACACATAAAGGTTTTATAAGCTATTGCTTAATACTCTAGTTATCACATATAGTTTTGCACACACAAACAAATATTTGAATATTTTTATATTCAATATAAATAGAAAATGTCAAATTTATATTTATATATTAACATCAACAAATTATGATGGAAGCCTAAGCAAGAACATACAGGTCAACATTGAGCTCCCTCAGTCTTGAAATTTCAGAGAAGAAGAATTTAACAGAAGTAAAATTATGCATGTATATTTATGAGAATGGTCAAAAGAATGTGAAAAAAAAGAAAAACAAAACATGCTTTGAATTGTACAACAAAGTGAACAAATTGCAAAACATTAACAAACATGGCTGACTAATGGCCATAAGTATTTTTTCCACCACAGATACTTTGGCATTGCAACATAATAGGTTGGAACCAACGAGTGAAGTTTCAAACCTCTGTCCTTTAACGTTTGGAGAAGAAGATCTTTGCTACCTGGTGGCTATACTAAACTTTCACATGAAGATAACTTGATCAAACCTGAACCAACTTACAGAGACAAATACTCAAATATAATTTCAGCTGAATTCAGTCTGCAATTTTGGAAAATATTAAAAAAGTACAATGGTTTTTTTAATATTAATGGTCAGATGATATGACCTTTCAGGCCAAGGTGAGCCAACAACTATTTGTTGTATGCACTTGCTCATATTACCTTGATGCATTGGTGGAGCTTTCTCCACTCTGTGTTGTCGGGTGTCATGACCCAGGAAGTGGCCCCTGTAGTCTGATACTGAGGCTTCTGTCTTCTCCATGTCCCCCTTGGGAATATGTGTAACTGTGGTGTTAAGCATTGGTTTAGCTCTCTCATAACTCTCATCCATTTGAGGAGTGAAATAGTTATCATGGGTTGTTTTGAAACATTTAAATTTATTTGTGTCCCGATCCATTTTAAAATTTGTCCGACTGAGCTTTGAATGGACATTCAAAAGGACAGGTTTCTTCAAGTAGCGATATTCAAAACACTTGGAAGTTTCTGACTCGTTCTGACTGAAGTATCGATCATCCTGGTGCATGACATCTCCAAGTTTTGGTGGTCTGGCTTGCTCACACCTTCCATAATGTGGATGTGATGGGTAGTCATTCTTGAAAACACTGCACATTGATGAGTTGATTTCTCCTGGGTCTTGACAGAAAGTGAAGTTACTTGGGCCAAGATGGGTCTGTGTTGGTGGAAATGTCCCAGGCTCTGCATGAATGTTCACTGCTGGAGGTGCCATGACTGCTTGAATAGAATGAAACAGAAACCATATTTCATATCACTTTTTTTAACCTCAGTCCTGATTTAACGTCCATAGCTGAAAATGTATTCATATGAAAATATCGTTTTCTACTTTCAAAAAGACAATAAAAAAAATCTGGATCTAAATCTTTGTTAAGTAAAATACATATGTTATTTGCAAATATAAAATAATGACCAATAAAACCAATTAACTTTTTCATTACTTTTTTCTTTTTTGTGGTAATCATCATTCCATGTATTAGATTATAACTTTCAGCATAATATAAAAATAAATATCACAAATAGTAGAAATCTAATGAACATAAGAAAAAAACAGACAAAAAAAATTACATTTCAGAAAGTCTCATTTGTAGTGGTTAAGATATTTAAAAAAATTCCCCGCACACCTTGCTTTCAAACGCCCACGTGTTTACCTGTTTACAAAGTAGACTGTGATCCTACTGGTGATACTACTGTCTATTGATCTACTTGCAATCCAATTGAGATCGGTTGTCAGCCAATGAACGCTTGAGTTGTACCTGTCATTCTCCCGTGGTAAGGACCAGCAGTGTTGACTTTCACTCCCTTTGTTTATGGTTACTAGAGGAACCATTAACCCGGAAGCGAATAAACCGGAAGTAGAACTCTTCACAACGAAGGTAAGGTTGTAAGATTGCCAACATGGCGGCTACCAGGTTGGAAATAAACTTCAACAGGTTGTTAAACCGATGTGAAGCCGTGGCAAGCGATAAATCGCTAAAAGATTGGCGACTCGAAAAGGTATTCAAAGAATTTTAATCTTTTCCAATTAATAATTGTATTAAAACTCAAGAAGTATTGGATTGTCAAAGTAAATCCGAACACTTTCGTCAGCTGTTGCCCGAAATATGATTTCCAGTAATCTGTTATTCTTGTAATTATTTATCAGTAATGGAGATGATGTATGAAACTTTTGTGACAGGATGGGGGTAACTGAACACACTGGGTTTTCAGTAGCCTAGAGATTTGATGCGGTCCGGTACATTCAAGACATGACTCTGCATCCTCAACTGTCGGCTAGGTTTTCAGAGCATCGTGCTATCAGTTATTTTCGTTCATTCCAGTACATAGGAGCTTTACAGAATCAGTTGTCCGAGTTGAAGAAAGCGCAAAGGTAGGTCCCCCAAATGTAGTTACCGGGTCTGTGTTACACACCTGGGATTAAAATTTTGTAAATCAATTTGTAAACATGGTATACATGATAAGTTTGTAAAAACTTACCATGTGGACTTTTTCACATTTCATTTTGTGCCATGTGGAGGATTAAAGCCAGCTTAAAGCTAACACAGGCATATTCTGTGTGAATGTTGATTGCATTTTATTGTTACTTTCAGTAAACCTTGTGATGAAATTCTTGGTGGTTACACGAAAAAGGTAGAATTATTGAAAGGTCTCATAGAGGCAGAGAAGATGGTGAGTTATTAACTATATCCTGCTTAATATAAAAATGTAAAAATCTTTGTGTTTTTGGTGTAAATCTGTTATCCTGCTTCTTGACACAACAAGTAGGATTATATCATGACATATAGCAGGCAAACCTTGGTAATATCATCAGTGTTTGAGGTTTTAGCATCCATCCTAGCTAACATAATATCTGATACTTAAGTCCACCAATTGGTGTAATGTTAATTTTAGGCTAAAATACTCCTGTATCATCTCAAAATCCTAAATCTCACTTTTGACATTCAAATAAACGAGAATGAAGATTGATTTATTTAATTGTTAGCATTCATGATTTGATTAATTTTTGTCTCCGATATTCATGCTGTTCATGATTCAGTGTTCCTGTACTATCTGTGTTGTCATCTATAAACTGTTCCCCTAATACAGCCCACTGCCTCTGAGAAGGCCCATGCTACCGATCTCCTGTCTGTTCCTCGGACAACATCATCAATATCAGGAAAGCAGCTGCACATGCAGGCCAAAGTGATGTACCAGCAGGAGATGAGAGATGAACTCCTGGGGTCAGGACAAACAGGTTAATATACCCTTTAGTGGGTTTAATTGACATTTACTTCAGGCTGGCAAGAGCACTGTATACAACAGAAACAAAGTAATCTGTGATTATGATAATAGTTACTTTAGACAAGACCCGTGAAGGTCCGGGTTAGAATATTGATCTTCAGTAACCCATGCTTGTCGTAAGAGGCACCTAACAGGATAGGGTGGTCAGGCTCGCTGACTTGGTTGACACATGTCATCGGTTCCCAATTGCGCAGATCGATGCTCATGCTGTTGATCACTGGATTGTCTGGTCCAGCCTTGATTATTTACAGACCACGGAATATAGCTGGAATATTGCTGAGTGTGTCGGAAAACTAAACTCACTTACTCACTCACTACTTTAGACAATTAATTGGGTGGATACCATGGTTGGTGATGATGACCCATAATCAGCTGATAATTAGGGCTTGATCATGCTAATTGCATGGATCTAATCTGCATGGATTCCAGGCTGGAATGTGAATTGATGGTTGCAGTTTAGATTAAAGTTTTCTTGGGCAACTATGCTATGTGGTTAGGTTCATTAACTTGCACAGGTTCATTAACTTGCATGCTTCTTGTGTAGATTTCGATTCAAATTGGTCTCCACCAACCAATAATGGTTGTAAGAGGTGGCTCAATAAGTCAGGTGGTGAGGCCTAGTGACTTGGTTGTGGGAATTTGGATTGCTGCTCATCATTTACACCTCTTATTTGTCTGGTATAGACTCTCTTCTTACCATGCCACCATCATAGAGCTGTATGTTATATGAGTCACGAAACAACACACGCACACAGAGAGTTGTAAATTATCTCCCTTGAAGAATGGTGTGCGTTCACTTTGGTGTGTGGTGTGGCTAGACTTACCAGTAGAAAAATGCTATACATTTCAACATTATTGTATTTTTCACAAGTTTTGCCAGTAAAACAGTCAGTTCAATTTTTAACCATGGCACTCATTTCCAAGCATGCACAAATGTTTAGTCTGTTTTCTGTTGATAGATGATGAAGATGTTGGTTTACGTCAGCGACAAAGACCAAGGACCAGGACATTGACACTGTACTGCAGCATCATCATCAGATGCAGGAGAAACTTGCTGAGGAGATGCTGGTCATTGCGCAGGGCTTGAAGCATAATGTCACTGTGTCTGGCAAGATTGTTCAGGATGACATCAAGGTAAAAATACTTTTTACATTTGTAAAGTTTCCTTCTGGCAGTATTTGACATTTTGAATACTTTTTACCCTAAACATGATGGTTTAATAATTTTATAACATAATTAGCATTACTGTAAAGAAAATACTGGACAAATACAGATTTTTGTACAGAGTCAGGTCCATTTATGTGAAATGTTGACTCCTGGATCTGGACTGCTTTGAAAAGCAAGTACTGCCTGCATAAAATCTGCTCTGTTACTGATCAAAGCCATTGCTACTTTCTGTAAGCCAATGAACAGGTCACTTGTTATGACAAACAGCGTCAGGTACATACACATATATCATCAAGGCTATCAATTGATTAAAAGATTGAAAATGTACAATAGGTAAGCATTGCTGTCATTGTGATATCTGATAATAATTGTTATTGCTTTAACTCTGAAATGCAATAGCTGGTCAAAATACCTATGTCAAGGGACACAACTCTAAATTTGTTGATCTTGTTGATTCCATTTGACCATTAACAGAGTTTTGGTAATTCGTGCTAGTTATCAGAACTACCATCCATTCTAGACATGTTAGATATGTAAAGTGTTGAATTCAGTGTGTGGCTCTGTCCCAATAATTGTATGTATTTGAATGAAAGGTGCAGCAAAACTTATCTAGATAGAAAGGGGAGGTAACTCTGATTGGTTTATCAAAAGTGCAAGGTGGGGACTCATTTGAAACTAAACACTCTTGCAGAAAATATGTAATCAGGTATTTAGGAACTGCTATTTTGTCAGCATACACTAAGTGTCCTGACTTTGATTGGAATTTACAAATCAGCACACACAATTGCAAATCTCATGTGCAAAGCATGTGGCTTGATAATATTCGCCACTGACTTCTTTTCTGCAGCAAGTTCCCAGAAATGTTTTGGTCATTGGTCCTTGGTTTGTCTATGTCCAAATTCCGTTCAGGTTTTGACAAGAAAATTCTGTTTATATGGCACAGGACTACCTTGTGGGTCTGTATCTAGAAAGACCATCTGAGTGTGCACTGCATGAGTTTTGGTGTTTCGGTGGTTAGGGATAAAATTGTTGGTAAATTATGTATGTGCAGGTTAACTGAGTGAACATGTCAGAAAGTCCATCAACTCATACCAACAAACCGTCTTTCAAAACACTACCAAAGAGGCATAGTGTTTCCAAGGCAGCCAATTTTAATGAAAATACCATTAGTCTAGTCTCTTGTCATTCAGGCTTCATGTAACATTGACAATGGATCAAAAGTGTTCTGTATGTTTTCAGTTAAATTCAGTTCTAGCAAAATTGAAGCATTGAAAACTGGTTCTAAGTTATAACCTAAATTTCTACTTGTTAGAGTGGGCTATTATTGAAGGCTAATGAAGAGTTCTGTTGCCTGAGCTGAATCCATTGATGAACGGTTATAAGCATGAAAGTGCTCATAGATTTCATCAAAGTCACTGGTGAGCTTTTTATCCACAGTAAGCATACTTGCTGTGACGTGACACCATTCAAAGTACTTTCATATGTTGTGTTTGGGTTGATGCCCTATAATTGGTCATGGAAATATTTTTGTTGCAGAAAGTGACAGATAGCACAAGACTGGCCGACACCAACCTGGGTAAGCTGAAGACGGAGAGTGAGCGACTACAGGCTCACACCAAGACGTGTTCATGGTGGATCTGGGTGATGCTGGTGGTCGTCATCATCACGTTCTGCTGGATGGTGCTGCTCATGAGACTCTTCCCCAAAAAGTCATGATACGATCAGGAGTCAGGATAGAATCATGACAGCTTGTATGGGTCAGCCGCCAGCTTCTTGTTCCTACCTGTGAGAGTGTCCACAATGCATCACGCCTTTTATGAGATCTATCAGATGAGGATTAAGGAAATGGTTATTTTCACCACTGTATGCAAGGACAATCAGCCATTTACAGACGTGATGAGGTACTCCTAGCCAGACTTCCTCGTGATCAACCTCATATCTTTGCCAAAGGCCAGTGACAATCAGAGATGATTTGTCACAGAGTCCATTCAGCAAACTACATATTTAATTCATGTTGTTCAGTGTAACATAGGGGTGGTGGGGTTGCGTAGTTGTTAAAGTGTTTGCTTATCTGTGAAGATCCAGGTTAGAATTGGTCATCATTAAACAATAAACTAACCAAGCAAGTGTTTGGTCATTACACTGAAGACCCGGGTTTGAATCCCAGCATGGGTTCAATGTGTGAAGCCCATTCCCTGTGTCCCTTACCATGATAGTGCATATTGTTGAAAGCAGCTGTAAAAACATACTTACTCATTGAGAGTATAATGTGAAAGGTGACAATCTAAAACTGTGTCTTTTATGTGAATATGTGACTAATACATGAACAATGTGGTGCTACTGCTACTAGTCTTTGTCCAAACAATACTGTGGCAATTTCCATGGCAGTTGTTCTGTAGAGTACTGTTAACTACTTACTTGAAGACATCAAAGCTGGCAATGATGTATCACCACACACTTCACTCTCAGAGTTGAGATGGCATATTTTTACAATCATCTGAAAGGCTTCCATTAGGCTGGATTTCTCTAATTGAAAAATAAGCACCTTTGTTGACAAACAAGAGAACAGGAGAAAAGTCCCCCATGCAGATTAGCATGTGGCAGTTGTGTGATGTCATGTCATCTTTGCTCTGAACTGTGGATCTCAGCCTGAAAACCATAGTGGCTGACTGGGAGTAGTTACTTCACTCAAACAATAATGTGAAGATATGTATTGTTTCATCACTGATGCATAGTGTGTGTGTTTTCTTGATTGTCCCACTAGGTTTCCATACATTGGGCCACAGAATTTCTTGACAATTGTTCGCTTGTCACGCCAAAGACCTGGGTTGGTGTCCCCCGCCGTTTTATTGCTGGAATATTGCTAAAAGCGGCGTAAAACTATACTCACTCACTCACTCACTTGACAATTGTCTGTACACAGCAACTGATGTTATTTATGATCTGGCCATGTTTACCTCTTGATTATTGATATCTGATGCTTTCATATAGATAAGGAACAGATCCAGTAAACATGGGTCAACATTCAGTGATAAGTACATTAAATGACACAAAGCGCTCTTAGCACAACATGGGTTGATAGAATGTGTTATGGATATATATTTGTCTACTTTCGATAGGGATATTAGTATCTTTCAATGATATACAAGAAATATTATCAGAATGTTTCAAGAGAATTTAATATATAATAACATATCTGATTATCCCTTGCAAAAGCTGAGCAGTATATTGTGAAATGAGACTGTATATATCGAAATATAAGGCAGTGAGGAAATAAATTGTATGATGTGTACAGATAAAATTAAATTGATGTAAATATACATCCCAATGCTTATCGTTTCTTGGTGTCTTTGTATCAAATCTTTGAAGGTGTTCAGATTTCTGTTTGTTAATAAATGGTTAGTGCTGAAATTTCATTTGGAACCTTAAAAAATATGATATTCATGTCTGAATTCTGAATACTTTGTTTATCCTCAGTCATCAGTGGGATGTGTTAGGGAACTGCGTGCTGTATGTCTGTCTGCACATCCATCCTTATGTCTCAGTTTGTTTCCACAGCATTCATTACTCAAAGAACTTTCTGTATTTCTCAACTGAAACAGCAAACATCTCAGTCTAGCCAATGATTTGGGCATTTTGATGTTTAGGAAGTTTGGTAAGCATCAACAACAGTTGAGATAAATGAAGATCTATTTCATTTCTGGAGCTAAAATCATGAACAATCGTTACAACCTTTGAAATTCTTTTAATGTAAAACTAGTCCAGAAGACTACTGTAAACCTTATTTCACTCATCGTCAGAGTTTGTAGTTAGTCCTGCAAGAACGAGACCAAAATCTTTATTACATTACATTACTTTACTATATATTTTCTGATAGTATTACTCAGGGTCAGTTTAAGCAAAATAGGAAAATGAAATAATGAAAATGAAATGTAGTCCTGAGGTACAAGTCTCAAAGTCTCAATGATGGCTACTTTTGTGGTCAGGGGCCTGAGTCCCATTGGGTATAACATACATTGTTGGGGAATATGAGCATTCTGTTATTGTTAAGATTTGGGAAGATACCCAAAATATGAATGTGGCAATGGGGGTAGCCTTGTACCTATAGCATTTGCTCATCACACTGGTATTCGATTCCCTTACATAGGTACAATGTGTGAAGCCCAGTTCTGGTGTACCCAGTGTTGATATTCTGCTATGTTGCTAAAAGTGGTTGAGTCCTTACTCACTCATGCTCTGAACTGTGTTTCAACCAAGCAGATAACCACAGTTGGTCACTTGTTGCACTATGTTCCTACAGTGTTTCCAGAAGCCTTTGAACTTTCATAAGGTTCAGATGTCACAGTTTTTAAAGCTCTTTTGATTTTATAGCTTTCCTGAAAGCTTCCATAGACTCACAGTGCAGTGAGGTGTTGAGACTCTCATGACACGGAACCCAGAGGAAAGGATATGCTGTGTTACCCAGACATCTGTATCCTGACTTCAGTGAGTGAAGTGGCTGATGTTCCTTTCATTCCCCAATGGCATGGAACTTTCTCTCAGGCTGCCAATTTCAGGATTGCCTGGCCCAGAATCGATAATTCACAGGCTGTCAAGAAATTGTTGGAATAGTGCCTCCTCCCTAACAGTCCCTCTGTCAGTCACTCCCTCCCCTCGCTCACTCACTCACTCACTCACTCAGGCCATTTAAGACTGTAGGCTACTGTTTACAAGTTCAGCACTGACAGATAAATCTGACAGAATGAAAAAAGTCTATACAATTCAAGCTAGCAATCTGTGATGAAATAGGTCAGAGACCAAGTTATATTCTGAAGAAAACACAAGGTGTTGATTTTAATCTTATGTTTTGTCATCACCAACGTTTGCTTCTTTAGACAAAGCAATCATCGATTTCAATGTTATGCAGTCATACAGTTGATCCAGGCATCAGAACAGACTGTCAGTGTAAATAAACATACTGTTGATTTATTGAGGGGAGACCACTCTTGTGACTCTCTGCTACACAAACTGATAAAATTCACTTGGTTCAATCATACATATTGATGGTTCACATTGTTCATTAACAATGTCTCAAGTCCATCCTTCTTATATTTATATAAATGTTTGTTTCAAATTTAACTCAGTTGAAGACGTTTTTTTAAATTTCTCTACTTTGTTTCAATGTGATGATATGTCAGATGTCCACTGTTGGAGCTCCTGTGTAGCATGCCTGGTGTGGTTGTGCACTACCATGGGGTTGAAAAGACTGTCTGGCTGCAGAGTGTTGGTAGTCTTAGTGTCAATAATCTGTGTTGTTTCTTGCTACTTGGTATCTCACAGGGTGAAAACTGTGAATACAGAGTTATCTCGCATGATAAGAGGTGTTAAAACCTAGTTATCTCTCAGGAGATACGGTGTAAATAACGAGTTAGATAACAGGATATGAGGTGTGAATACTTAGTTATTTCACAGGGTGTAATAACACCCTGTTATTTCACAGGATGTAAGATGTGACTACCGAATTATCTCAAGATAAAAGTGTGAATAGCGAGTTATCTCACAGGATATACGGTGTGAATAGCCAGTTATGTCACAGGATAAAAGGTGTGAATACCTAGTTATGTCACAGAGTATAAGGTGTGAATAGCAAGTTATCTCAGGATATAAGGTGTGAATACCGAGTTATCTCACAGGATATAAGGTGTGAATACCGACTTATCTCACAGGATATAAGGTGTGAATACCGAGATATCTCACAGGATATAAGGTGTGAATACCGAGATATCTCACAGGATATACGGTGTGGGTACCAGTATGTCGCACAGAGTATAAGATGTGAATATAGAGGATACTAAACGACCTTCCGTGTAATACCATTTTTATTAAACGAGTTAATGATTTGGTATCAAACGAGAGATTTGATACTAAATCTTTCACGAGGTTTATATACAGTATTCCACGGAAACGAGTTTAGTATTCTGTTTATTACTTTCCAACATAAATTCATAGAAACTGTCTACAGTGTGATATCTTACAAGTTATAAATGTTTAAATTTTTTATTTGCCTTCATGTTTAGGATCTCTTCATTTCAACTCTCAAATGACAGATAATAATAAGTGAGGTTTCACATGGCCATATGTATGGCACCAGTATATCTCACAGTGTATAAGATGTGAAGACGTTGATCAGTTGGACACGTGATGCTCGATACACACGTGACGTCCTTCAATCGGACGCATGATGTGTAATACACCGGCGTGTGTGAGGATAGGTGATGTGTGCGAACTTAAATCAGTTTGACGCATGATATTTGATGTGTGCGAATTCAATGAGTTGGACGCATGATGTGGGATATATGCGAATTCGGTCAGTTGGACGGACGCATGATGTGGGATATATGCGAATCCAAGCAGTCATTTTACTGACCCAAATAGACGATGCATGGCATATGCCCACGTCAGGCAGCCGAGCGTAAACCAGTACGAACTGTTTAATGAAACTGACCACTGGATCCTGGCAAGCGGATCCTGGCTCCTAAGGGACGCAACTTTACACACGTTCCTTTGTCTTAGACCTCTTTGGCAACCTACCTCAACAGGTGCATTGACTAAGCACTATTTGCGGCGAACAGTTTTAAATTTGTTTTTGAGCTCAAACTAAATTCTAGCCTGTATTTCTTTCATTCCTGTCTAAGAAGTCTTGAAGTATTCCAAAAGGTATCGTTACAACTCACAAGTGTCACAAGTTCTGATAGCTGCGTAATTTCTCAATGGGTGGTCGAGTTGAAATTGTTGAGAAGAATGCCATGAAACCTTTCTTTTTCGAAGTAAACAAATGCTGTCTTTCACGAGAGGCATCATATTTGCCCGGTTGTGACTGACACCACTGGTATTTTGCTGATAATAATGTAAATTCTTATGTCATAACAGGATAATAGAGTGTTTGAAATACCTCGGCGGTGTAACAGAACGGCTGCACGTGTTGTTGTGACTACCCCATTACAGACTGTTCAACACAGCAGTGTAAAGGATGAAACTGAACCCTCTCCAACGTGAAGGGATATTTCAAGAAACGTTTCACTTTGGCTATAACGTTGTCTGTTTATCACTAGAATATATCTTACCACACAGTCGTTACATATTAAGGGCGTTGTTAGTGTCATATTGCTGTGTCCTGGGTTCTAATCCTTTACAATATCTTTGATCTCGTGTTCGTCTCATCATGTATAGAATGGTTATAGGAACATTATTAGAACTATACGTAGAAGGGGGGGCGGTGGGGTAGTCTAGTGGTTAAAGCGTTGGCTCGTCACGCCGAAGACCCGGGTTCGAATCCCCACATGGGTACAATGAGTGAGGCCCATTTCTGGTGTCCCCCGCCGTGATATTGCTGGAATATTGCTAAAAGCGGCGTAAAACCATACTCAGTCAGTCAGTATACGTAGAAGGATGATTAATTTAATGTTTACCTGGGTCTTTCTCGATAAAGGTTGATTTAATTGTTTTAAATATAAAAATGATCAAAGGTAAATTGTTGTAGCAGATTATAATATACATAGTGTTTCCGGAGCTCTTGAGGACAAGACACTTTTTGAAAATATTTAGTACTTAATTTGATACAGTATTGCCAGTTGTCACTGAAGCTAAGGTGAATTAGGCGTCTTCCAATAACGACAACATCTGAAATCATTCACGTGTTAGAATATATAGAAGTTAGGTCTCTTCCAATTGTAAATCAGTTGAAATGTTGGTTCAAGATGATGTAAACTGACAAACAACTCACCATTTCTAAACCATATGGGAGCGTGTAAACAGAGAAACATCCCAGATTAGTTCTAATTAGCCCACCTGTTTATGATGACGTCATTGTGAATGGACTCGCATATGACAGACAGTGTAGGTGAGGTCTCGTATACCGATATGTATGTGGCGTCTTACTCTACCCCAGTATCTTCTTTATTTCTGAACTGTAGGACAGATGCCCGTTGTACACTTAAAACAGTTATAATGGGAGAGTGGTACAAGCGCGTTTGCGTTTTAACAGTGCATGGTGTATAAACATGGCAATATTCTGAAGTAGCTGTACATTTTCGGTTGACATTAGTATACAGAATTTGTAAAATGTGGGACAGGACGTATACTTAGATGGTATATAATACTTTCTTAGGTCTTCATACTGTGGACAAATTAGAAGGACATGGTATTCATCTTCAGTAATATCTCTGTCACACATTTTGCAGGATTGGTTCTCAGTAGCATGACATATTCTTTTAAAATACATTAAATCATAGTAACCACATCGAAACTGCGATAACGACACTCTTTTCCTTATATTTACAACTGTTAAATACTTTT